AGCTAAACCCTGGCCCCATATGTTTTTAATTTACCCAAATTTATTAGAAAAAACAAGGAAGGGATCTAACCCAATTCAAAAGGGAAGAGTAGAGGAGGCCCATATATTCCCTAAAATTGGAGCCTTGGCTTCTATCTACAAAGGTGAGATTTCCTGGTGACCATGAGACCAGTAAAAAAAAAAAAAAAAACCATGAAAATGGCAAACAAGCATGATGGAACCATGTGACCAACTCACCTGATCAAATAAAATGGCCGATAAACAAACATGGATGAATCCCTGTGGCTGACCTACAGGAGGAACCAAAATGGCTGACTCATGCGATTAACAGACATGATGAACCAAAGCGGCTCTCAGTCATGGCAGAAAGGTGGACTTGGATGAAAGCAGCTCACTAAGAACTCCATGTAGGAGGAAAGTGCAGATGAGACTTTGTGCACAAAAAGGGGTCATCAATTTAAGCAGGAGACCAAATTCCAAATAGCTAATTTTTCCGAAAGAGTGAAAAAGCTGAGCAAAGTATCGTAGAGAACAGAAATGTGAGGAGAAAAAGGCATACTAAACTCTGGGTCGAACACATGGAACTTGAATGGTCTGTTCTGTGACTGGGTTATTAACAAGCTCTCTGGCTGCTCTTTACTGACTTGTATTCACAGTGACTGACCAAAAACAGAGAAGAAAGAAAAGGGGAGATAAACTTGAACCGGACCTATGGTCCCTTTACCAGCTGGGAAAAACACAGAGGCCATACACTTCCCCTCCTTCTTCCCACATGATGGAACACACTAGGAAACTGTTCGTTGTACCATGAGAAAGCTTTCTGAGTTTTCCAACCTAGGGAGAGAGAGAGAGGGAAACAACAAAGAAAACTTTCTTGGCCATAGATTTTAGAGAGAGAGATCAAAAGGGACTTACCTCCTGGCTGGCTCTGCTAAATATGTTACCAGGTTTGGGGGGGCTGGAGTCTCCTTTAGAGGTGGTTTCTAGGTTCTTCATGTCTTGAACAAAGAATTGGTCAAGACAAATGCAAACAGTAGCAAGGTTTTATATATTAAAGGTTGGAAAAGAAACATGCTTTGCAGAGCGAATTTGGGCCAAGAAAAAGTAGAAAAAGGAGTACACTCTGCAGCATGAGAGTAGATTACTGTTAAAAGAACACAGTAGCCCAGAGCTCAGTGGCAACTTTGTATTTCCCACTCTTCAGGATGGTGTCAGGTCTAGGCCATACTTATCACAAACCTTGACCACATGGGAACTGTTCTGTGCATGTGTCTGGGAACTTTGCATTTAACACATCACACCCACTTTCTTAGCCAGTCTACCACACCCTAATCTACTGCCTCAATGTCAGGGAAGAATTTTCCAGTTATAGGGAATAGTATAAACAGAGTCACAATATTATAGATAGATACATATTTCCTGTGCCAACAAGACAGTGGGGAGTAAATAAGGGAGCACACATGAGGGCTTGAGAAAGAGGAAATTATCCAATTTGGAGCACAAGGAACAGAATGAACCAAGGACTTGTTGATGCTGGCAAGAAATCAGCTATGCTGAATTTGCTTAATAATGGTGCTCTTGGGGGCTATAAATTTTTTTAAATGATGGTTGAAATTTCCCCAATGGTTAAATTTAGGAAGTTATTCCCAATCTGCAGTTCTCCTGGACTGAGCTTTTCTCTAAACATGGGACCTGGGAAGTCATGATTCTCTTCCACCCCCAGATTCTTACAGAGCTGAATGAAGGAGCCATCACCATCTCTTTTCAATTTCTCATCTGTTTTTCCCCTGGCTTCTATTCATAGAATCTTATGAGTAAAAGTCTATCTGAGGGCTTCAGGGTATTTAGACTGGGGGGAAATCTTGAGACGTTTTTGAGGTAGCATAGAAGAAATAAAAACTAGACAGAAAGGAAAATCCTAATTTTAAAAATGAAAACTGTAGCTTCAGGACACAAACCCAGTTTAATTTTTTTTTTCAGTTTAATTGTTTTTAATCTCACAGAACACAAAATCTTAGACAGTTCTCTTTCACCTGCAAAAGGACTCTGCTATTCCTATTTTACCTGCAAATGGTCCTCTTTCACCTCTGAATAGACTACCTTTTCACCTGTAATTAGGATTTCCCCTGTGAATGGACCACCAAGCCAAGACTACAGATTTCCACTACCAAAAACACATAAAGATTCCCAGTTCCAAATTAGTATGTCTCGCACTCCACTCAGTGCACCCTAAACCCTTCCCATGCCTCTTACCGAAACATCCTGTAAATTCTGCCCCCTGCCCCCCCCCCCATTTTGGTATGAGTGACATGACTGTTTAGGTCACCAGTATTCTTAGATAATAACAGTTAATAATTTGTTAGAACTTACTGTATGCCACAATCATACTGACAGACAAGTATCATACTCATTTTCCAGATGAGGAAATTAAAATATGGAGAACTGAAGTGGCTTTCCCACTGTTCCAAAGCAAAATCCAAACTCAGGTCTGTTTGGCTTCAAAGTCTAAGCTCTGTGCCAATTACACCAGTCAATGAATCTTTTTCTTTTGCTAGAAAAATGCTAAAGCCAGCCCACAGTAATAGGAATCTCCAAAGAAGGGCATTCTACAATCCCACACAATGTTTAACTGCCCTGTGATCAGAAAATTGTTCACTTATGTAACAAATGTCCCTCCAAACAATGTGGAAATTCATTTCCTCTTAATGGGGTTTCTCACTCACTGCTGTTGCTTGGCAGCTTTCCTGATATCAAAACAGTCATCAAGATCCTATTCTTACACTCCAGGAGGTCTTGGACTTACTGGCCCCTGTCCGTGGGTGTTCTCACTAGCTCCTTTGAACACCCCTTTCTCAGACAATGCTGAGTTGGGCAAGTCTCTTGGGGAGTGAGAAAGTGACACTTGAGAACATATTGGTTTATTATTACACATAGAGGAGTAAAATTAACCATATGAGATGCCTCTAGAATTGCCAATAGCAGGATGGCACCACCTTTATCATCCTTCTGCCTTTTTCTTGATCTCTACCTTGTGTCCATCTTTCAAGCTGTTTAATTATTTAGCGGAAGTGTGCGTATGTTACTTAGAGAAGTCCCCTGCTTCCCAAATTACAGTGTGTATTGTCTCTGAATTACTATACTATTTTTTCCAGGTTTTTATTTTTAAATGTTTTATTTTAATACAAGTAGATATTAATAAAGAAAATATACAGCTATATTATTTTTTAAATCCATCAGACTTTTTTTTTTGAAACAGGGTTTTACTCTGTAGTTCAGGCTGGCCTCAAGCTCACAGCAATCCTCCTGGCTCAGCCTGGAGAGCTGGGATTATAGGCGAGTGCTAGGATTACAGGTGTGTGCCACCAAACCGGGCTCAATGGACTCATCTTCTTTTCTGGCTCCTTTAAGGGCTAAACTGAGAAACTAGTGCAGATTCTGGGGTTAATGGCTGATCTGCGGATGAATGTGCTTCTCTTACCAGAAAATATACTAGAGTTATTTTTTTCACAAACATACTTCATTAGTTTCCTCTATAAGAAACAGTAATATCAATCTTTTTAATAGAAATCTCAGGTCATTTTGAACCAACTTTGCCAGATATAATTTCCCTTCTGACATGTTTGGCATTTAATTTCAGCTTTTCTAAATAAAATCTGTTTTGAAGTTCAGCATGGTGGCACATGCCTATAATTCAAGCACTCTGGTGAAGGGAAATTATACCTGGCAAAGTTGGTTCAAAATGAATAAATTATGTAAACTACTTTCCATAAGCAAATACCTAATTTTGGCCACCAGAAGAATCAGAGATCCAGCAGGTAGCCAGATGTACTGGTGCACACCTGTGATCCCAGCACTTGGGAGGCTGTGTCAGGATTACTGTGAGTTCTAGGCCAGCATGGGCTACATGGTGAGTTCAAGGCCAGCCTGAACTACATAGTGAGACTCTGTCTCAAAAGAAAAACAAAACAAATTAAAAAATAGCAGGCATTATACATTTTATAATTCAGATATATTGCACAGAATTAGACTATGTCTAGTTCTGGGAATACCCTAGATATCTTAAAGTGTTACATTTGAATAAAACTATCTTATTTTCTCTTGATTAATAAGGTAGCTAAAATAATTTGGAAACCAAAAAATATGAGCCATCACTGGACAGCAAGACATCTAAACTAAACCTTCAGCAGAGAAATCAGTGGACATATGACATAGGCCCAAAGTCATACACACTTTATTAGTTTCCTCTACAAGAGACAGTACCATCAATCTTTTTAACAGAAATCTCAGATTATGAGAGGCCAAATTGATCCAAGGAAGGAAGATGAAAAGTAAATGCTTAAATTAATCAAAAGGCACTATATGATACCAGCTAAAACCTACTACCATGGTGCTGGCAGGCTAAGGAAGATTAAAGCACAGCAAATTATCTAATGTGAATGTTAGCGATGACAAAGCAGAAAGCAAGTCATTTGGGCCCAAGGGGATATTTGGTCAGAAGGTCGAAGTGGCTGTAGGTAAAGCCAAATAGAAAGGAATAGGTAGAAGGAGAATCCAAGCTATATAGACAAGCAGATGATGGGTCAGGCTTTTTCCTCCCAAGAAAGATTTGCTGGACTGTATTATCCCCTTCCCCACCTTCACAATCCCAGCCAGGAGCTGCTCAAGCTGAGCTGCCTACTCTTGCCTTACAGGAGTTTCTGTACTTTAGAATTTAGAGAACTTGTCACACCTGGGTGGGCTCAGTTGCTAGTTGTTCTGAACAAAGAACACCTCTGAAGTATTCACATGCAAAGGAGTCTGAGCTTCCATAATCACATTCAAACAACCCTAAATGTTTCAATAAACTCAAGTTTCAAACAAACCTCAAAAGTTTGAAATTTTGCAGCAGCTGAGCTCTAGTCAAAGCTTCAAGACTCACAAAATTATCAAGGAAGGCAGAATGAGATAATGCAGGTAGAAAATCCCAGCAGTCAGTCTCAATCTGTCTTTCTCTAATTTAGGATAAACTCTAATGTGCCTAATGTGGGATGTGAAAAGCTACACTGGAGCAAGCTGGGTCTTCCAAATTTGTCATCGAATACCAAGGGAAAACAAGAGGTAGGTTGATTTTGTTTTAAAAGCTTCAGAAATTATTCTGCTATAAAGGGACATGACTGAACAGGTAGGAAATACATTCCCCATTGTAAGTTCTCCTGATGGGTTCTGCAAAGATCATGAACATGTTGATCATTTCTACTTTGGAATATTACTTCATCTGGTTCTCCTGAGATATGACATTAGTGACTACTACTACTTCGAAGCATACATTGTTTGGTTTGTTTTGTTTTGGTACCGGGATCGAACTCAGGACCTTGAGCTTGCTAGGGAGGCAGTGGCACCACTGAGCTAAATCCCCGGGCCTAAGCATGCGTTGTTAATGTGAGAAATGGCTGGGCCAGAAAAAGTCTATGAGTCAAGATGGCATAAACTCTGGTAGCTCCAGCTGAGAGAAGTTTGTCAGCTGCATGGCAGATTGTGCCACAAGTGTCAGCCATGTCATCCACAAGAATAGCCACTCTGTCTTTCACATCCCCCACTAGCACCATGCAGTCCATTTCATTGGCCGCCTTCTTTGTGAATCAAGGCAAAGTCCGCATTCAACCGGTCTGCTATGGAGGCATCTATCTTGGCTCTACCAGCATCAGATGAAACATGAGACAATAGCATAGCTCCACCACTCAAAGATATTCTCCCTAATACACTTCAGGATAGCTGGCTCTGCATACACATTGTTTATTATTTATTTATTTATTTATTCTGGTACCGGGGATTGAACTCGGGACCTTCCGCTTGCAAAGCGGGTGCTGGAACCACTGAGCTAAATCCCCGGCCCTACACATTGTTGATTGATTGATTGATTGAGACAGGGTCTCTCTATGTAGTTCAGGCTGGCCTCGAACTCATAGTGATCCTCCTGCTTCGGCCTTCCAAGTGCTGAGACTACAGGTGTGCACCACCATGCCTGGCCAAATTATCCATTTAGATATTTTTTTAAAAGCCCTAAATTTGAGAAGCATGTAGATCCATAGTGATAATATAGTTTGCACCTGCTACAGATAGCATATTTGCAACAAATTTGTCTGAGATTAAAGCCCAGCTCATCCTTCTTATCCTGCTGGGCATAAGGGAAGCACAGGATGACTGCAGTAACCTGGCTGGCTGAGGCAATCTTGCAGGCATTAATCAGTATCAAATTGTCCATTAAATTGTCATTGATTTCACCACAACCACTCTGAACAATGTAGATATCTTCTCCACAGTACACTTTCACCAGTTTCCACACAGGTTTTCTGGTTGCTAAATTTCTTAGTTATCAACTTGCCTAGCTGCAGGCTTTAGCAGTCAATAATCTTCTAAGATATATTGTGGTGGGAGCTGCCACTGAAGATTTTGATATTTGGGATCTTGAGCAACTACCCTAGGTGCTCTTCGCGCAGCGATCATGGCTGCTGTAGAGACAGGAACTGAAATCAGCCCAGGCAATCAATACTATCTGTTTCACATTGCTACTCTGCCATCCTCTATACTTGAGTTTAAAATCAAGGCCTTCAGTGCTTTTAAGCCAAAAGAGTAGGGCCTTCACGTTATCTTCATATATCCTTTGTAGGAGATGCTAATCCATCTTCTTGCATCCTGCTGGATAATTCCAGAAACAAACTCAGGCAAAGAAGCTGCAAGGAGTACTTTCTCTTTGTACATTTAGGGTAACTGGTCCCCTCCACAGCAACCCCCACAAAACCTTCTCAGACATCAGATACCAAACGTGCTGTTGGAAACAGGAGGTACCACTTACATGCTGGGTTGTTTACTGCTCGACTGGTACTTATTTGTCATCTAATATCATATCCTATCACACTCCCTACTATCTTTTTAAAAGCATATGAATATTGTCAGTATTACCTCCTTGGGGCATGATTGTTTTGCAACCAGAACATTCTTCAAAGCCATCAGAGGAGGTGATTTGTGAAATGGTGAGGGTGTCATTCTGGAGGAATAGAACTCCAGGGATGACAGGAAAGCAGGTGCTCTTTCCTAAAAGGGACCTAATGATATACTTATATGGTGGCCGCCTGCTTTGTCAAGCCCTTAAGACAGTCCTGCTTGTCTTCTGGAGCAATGAGGCCTAGGGCAGGAAATTGTAGGTGAGAGTTAACTAGGAAATGCCCAGAAAAATGGTGGGCTGTGAGTAGGAGGAGGTAGTTAGTTTATAGCCTCTGTATCACTGTGCCTGGCAACAACTTGTTAATCTTTCATCAGTGATCACATCACAGCATATAGTGAGAGGTACACTTAGGGCAAAAGAGAGAGAGATAACCTGTTGGACTTCCTGTTTAAGGTTCCTTTCACTTGTAAGATAACAAAATTTCTCATCAAAGCCATGAGCCACTTGAGCAGGGAGACAAGGCTGGGTGAAGGCCAGCTTCAGCCAGCTGAGGAGGAGCACAGGCACTGCCCAACCTGGGGCCTCTATGTCCTAGAGTGGGCAACTATAGGCAGGAAAGAATCCCCTGCCCATGTGCCTGGGGCTGAGTGAGAGAGAACAGTTGACCCTGCAAGGCCTGATTTGCCTTCCTGCAATTTCAGAAAGGCAAATAAGACTTTCTTGGTGTTAGAGGCCATCACTCTTTTCTTTCTTTCACACCTGTGTTTCTCATCTAGTTCAGAGCCAAAAGACTCTGCTGGTCCAGCAATTTCTAAACAACTTCCCAAAGGGGGGAAAAAAAGAGAAGAGCGACTGAGCCTCAGGGTCACTCTCTCTTAAAGCTCCCTAGGGGTTCTGTGAGACAAACTCAGAAGAGTGATGGCTTAGCTGTATGGTGTATCCCTGTTTCCTCCATAACACTGCTTTTCACTCTTCCTTAATTTTCCATAGTACTTCAGCTGCTGAAAGCAGTTTTTTTGTTTTGTTTTGTTTTTGGGTACCGGGGATCAAACTCAGGACCTTGCACTTGAGAGGCAGGTGTGGTGCCACTGAGTTAAATCCCCGGCCCTTGAAAGCAGTTTCTTTTGACATCCTTTCCCACAAAGCTCAAGTGGTGCCAGGCCCTCGTTTTGTATGGATTGGCCATTAAGAGGATGTAGACAAATATTTTTCTCAGCTACTGGTTCCTCTATCTTAGGTCACATTTTCCCTGTCTTTCATGGGACAGTCTATTCTGCCTTATAACACAGTAGGTGTGCATGGCTTTTCTCCCCTAGATCATCTGTCAATTCCTCCAAGGCAGACTTTACATTGTTCTCCCTTGTCATCCTCATGGCTCTTAGCACATTGCCTGACATAGAGTAAGTGTTCAGTTAGTGTGGGTGGGCTGGCTGGCTGCCTAGATGGCTGGTAATATTTGGCTGGATGAAGATCTCTCAGAAAGTTGGAGCTGGCCTTTATGCTAAGAAGTCAGTTTAGGTCTCCCCAATTCCATTAATGATCATGTAGCGGTGGGTCACTGGGGCCCCATGATGGAGAAAACATGAGTCACACTATTATCAGAGGAATGAAAGAGGACAGAAACATGTACCCTTGCGCAAGGGTCAGAGCCAGGATGTGAGGGCCTTAACACAATGGCCTTTCAGTATCCCCTAGGTCTATGGTTAATCTAAATTATTTTATGATGGAAGGTAATCGGGGGAGCTGGAGGCTATTCAACTTGGACCCAGACTCAGGAAGATTTTGAGTAAACTTAGAGCAAGACTTTTCTTGCTCAACCAGCCAAAGGGATCAGTAGCTCTTTGTCAAGTCTGCCCTGGTTTTTCTAGTTGAGCATGAACTTCTCATTCCTTGCATTGAAGTTTCCTATATTAACAAAGGTCGAAGGAACCCTCAGGCTAGCCTCACCCTAAGAAAAGGGAAGCTCTGTGCTCCATTTCCCTCACAAGCCCTTCTACTGCAGTGGCAGACAGGGACAGGGAGTTTTCTGGAGTTTGAAGAGCCACAGGTCTTCACCCTGAGCTCCAAACCCACATTGCCACGTGAAGAGTTTCCAAGTTTATTTCAGACTCTGACACTGTAACTTGAGGGATTTTATTCACCTCTCTGTCCTCCATTTTGTCTTCTATAAGGACCTACTTCACTGAACTTCATTGAGGTATTTAGAAGATAAAGTTGGTAGATGTGAAAGTGTTTTGACTGCTGGACGGTGGATTATCAGAGCCCATATCAGACTCCTGCCCACTTAGCACAGCAGAGTCAGCAAAGGAACCCTGTCTTTTAACCTCCAGTGGCCCCCCTCAATCATCACTCTGAGGTTCCAGGTGTCAGACCAGAGACATGACTTCTTTTTTTTGTGAGTTTTTTTTTTTCTTTGGTACTGGGGATCGAACTCGGGACCTTGCGCTTGCAAGGCAGGCGCAGGAACCCCTGAGCTAAATTCCCAGCCCTGAGACATGACTTCTTGTTAAGCTTTTCTCCATAGAGTCCCCCAACACACATACACCGTGTTCCTTCCTGTTGCCATTCCTTCTAAATGGGCTTGGGCACTGGGATTCTAATCTCTGCACCAAAAAAGCCTCACATCAGAAGTGCAAGAGTAGTGTCTGTTAAAACAGGGTCTTACATGCTGAGGCCTCCTAAGTTCAGGGGCTGATTAAGCTGTCTCCTGTAAGGTCCTGTTACTCTCAGTATTGTTCTAGTTAACAACCTTATGAATTAGACTTTGTTAATTCCCAGGGAAATCAATTCATTGCTCTTCCACACTCCCACACTTCCAGAATCAGGAAAATTGGAACTAAGGTGCTGTGTCTTATTGAAATGTAAACCTAGCATCTCCCTGGTGAGTTGGCCAGTTGGCTATCATGGCAAGAGGGGACAGTTCCAAGTGGTACACTCAATGAATGCCTGTTTTCCCCCATCACTGTCATGGGAGACCACAAGAGCCTGCATGTCTCTTTTGTTACCTTGCTGGCTACAAAGTATCTTCTTTAAGCTGCTTGGGAATATCTGTAGGCTCTTCCTATTGGCTAAGAATATTTTTGGATCAGCAGGGTCCTATTTTAGGAATCAGGGGCTGTAACTAACACCAGCTGTATGGCTCTAGGAAAATCACTGTACTTGTGTGAACTTTAGTTTTCTCATCTCCCAAATGGAGATGGTCATATCTATCTCACCTCCCTCATAATGGTGGTTCAGCAAATGAAAGGAATAAGAGCATAACCATTTAGTAAATAACTTCAATGAAGCAATTATTCTGAAAAGGGAAGAGCCCTGGGCAAGATGAAGAGGTTAGTTTCCTTGGTGAGGGGTATTGTTATGTTTCCATAAAATCTGGAATTTTCTTTTCAGCCCGTAATGAGAAAGTCCAGCTTCCATCTTCCCTCCTCTTAGCCCAATTTCTTCCAGTCATACGTGCCCTGTCTTAATCAATAAAACAGTTACTCAATCAACAAGTGTTTATTGATCACCTATTGTGTGCTCAGCACTGTTACAGATAGTCTGGGGTATACAGAGAGGTGTAACATGGCCCCTGCCCTCCAATGTTTACATTGTGTTTTTGAGGTCAGACATATGCACACATACATAGAATTGTCCACAAAAATTTCGAATGATAAGCATAAAGAAACAATTTTTACTTTGAGGCTTGGAGGAGGGAGGGGTAAGAGAGGGACAGAATGGTCAGAGAAGGCTCAGTGGAAGAGGTGGTGCTGAGTAAGTTCTCCAAGTATGGGGACGACTTGGCTAAGGGGAAAGGGTTTCTAGATGGGAGAATAGTTTGCATATAGGCACGATGGTGGAAACACGAAAGGCATGTTAGAGATCATGAACGTCCCCCTTCTGCTGGCACTGACATTTGGGAAGATGTACTGGATTTTTTCAGAAGCTGATCATATTAGGCTGATGAGGACAAATGTTTATGATCTGCACTCCTATTCCAAGGGAAATGGAGCATTTTTCAGATCTTGGAGGTGGAACTGTCTGCCCAGGAACCATTTTCTACTTTCGTCATCTGTAATCCCAGGCAGCAGCTCAGTTACCATTGCTCAGATCATGGACACAGCACCATGGGCATAGATGTTCACATTGGAGCCCTTGGATAATCTGTGGAATGTCTTCTAATGGATGGGAAATATGAAGGGTGACAAGGGACTCAGGGTGTTGCTTTTTGAGCTGATTTTCCATTAGGCCTGAAGATTCCCCAATGGGCTGCCTCTCTTTGGCACAGTAGAAACACCTGCCAGAGCCACCACATTGTCTACCCAGCTTCTTAGATACAAAAGTTCATACTCTTTCTTGACCAAGGTCAAACAATAATATCTTTCTCAGTCCCCCACAGCTCCTGTGTTGTCATCCCGAGCCAAGGTCAAGTTCTAGAAAAACTGATTTATTGTTCCTAAGGAAACCATTGTCTAAGGCCCTTAGCCTGTGGGTTAGATAGAAGGCAAGGTCGGGCACCACAGAGGAAGGCAGAGGCTTCAGTGAAAGTTGAAACTGCCCCTTCTGAGGCAGTTCCTCAGTGAAGTCAGAGTCTGCTGCTGCCTTGAACTTGCCACATCTTCTTTCCTTGTGCTTTCCTCTAGCTGTGGGCTTGATTCCTGCCCCACTAATGTGAGGAAATCCTGGAAAGTGCCTTGGGAAATGGTTTTGGTCTTTTGTGGTCCCAGGCTTCCTTCCTTTCCTCCCATACTGCACCCAGTTTCTGTTCTCTGGGTACTGCAATATAGATTTCTTTCAGTTCATATACAAACCACTCTAGACAACCCGGAGTCAGCAAGAGTGGGATAGAGACTCTGGGGCCTATTACTGACCAATCAGTCTCTTTGGAGGGAGGTTTGAGAAGGAAGTTAGACCCATGCCCATATAAACCACCACTCCTTTTCCCCCAACAAAGAGCTATGAGCCAACCTCAGCTAGAAGGACAGTCTTCATCCCACAGTCAGTGGGATGTGATTAGTGGGTTTTGGAATGGAGTCCTAGGCAAACCAAAGGACAGGAGGGAGCCTCTGGGATCTGGCCCAAGGTAGGGGGTGGGGTTTGGAATTTAAGGTTGAGAACTCAGGGCATGGAGGTATGGAGGCAAGGTGAGAGAAATAGAAAAGCTGGTTTGGCAAGTGTCCTTAAAAATTCAACCTGGATGCTGTCATACCAGCTCCTGCTTCTGCCTTTGCTTGATCCAATGGCCAAAGTCAGTCTATGCTCAGCAGCACCTTCTGACATAATCCAGTGGCAATGTCCCTCACCCGTGGCCCTGGGGGTGCTGTCCACTGGTTTTCACAGACCCAGCCAACACCCACCCCCAGCTCTGGCCCCTGGTTCTTCACACATACCCTGTCAGGCTGTAGGAGTTGAACTCACTCTTGGCTTTGGATGGTTGACCAGGCTTTGGAGAGCTCCTAGTGGCAAGAGGCTGGGCCTGGTAGCCATCATAGTAGTTGGCACGATTTCTTTGGGATGAGCAGGAAAAGCAGAGGATAATTCCAGCTACCAGGGAGAACAGAGAGGAAATAATGCCCAAGTAAATAGCTTCTCCAATCTCATATTTCATGCTGTCAGGCACCAGTGGTGAGTAAAAGTCCCGCAAGATCCCATGAAGATTCCAGACAACAGGGATGAAGCCCAAGAGGCCTCCGAGAATGAAGAAGACTGCACCCACTACTGCCACTCTGTCTTTGGCTCGGGATTCCTGGCAAAAGACTGTGCATCTCATTCCCACCACAGAAATAATGCAGGCCAGTGAGGAGATTGCACTGGAAGTCACCATCAGGGCCTGGGCAGCCCGGATGTCAGCAGGCAACCCTAGAAGGGTGCTGTAGATGTCACACTGGGTGATGCCTGTGCTGTGTGTAGCACATTCCATCCAGAGACCCTTGGAGAAGCCAACAGCTGTCACAATGCTGGCACCAACATAAGAACTTGTTCGCCAGCTGGGGAGCAGCATGGCAATCACTGTGCCCAACAGTCCCAGAAGGCCTAGGATGTAGCCCACAAGTTGGATGCCAAGAGAGACCATGGCAGGCCTCTCAGTTGATGTGTCTTCAGGGCTTGTTCCCTCTTCTTCTGGCTGTGGCTCTTGCTCCTTGGATCCCAGCCTCTAATCCCTCATTTCATAGTGTTTGCCAGGCTGATTTCTCTCCTCCTTACGTCTCTGTGGGTGGCCACAAGCAGGCTCAAGAAGGCATCCAGAAAACCTAAAAAAAAAAATCCATAAACCAGATTAAATATTGACCAGAAGCTTATGAGAAACCAGAAAATGCTGGATGCCTTTTGACCTTTGTTATCTTTAAAAATAACACATGAGAAAGGAAAAAAAAAAACTTTGAAAGTGGAGCCAGAATGTCATCATCTTCTGCGTAGGCACATGCCTTAGGTTGGCAGTCAGACAAAGGCAGAGGCCAGACAGGTGGCTGCTTTCCGAGAAGGTAGTGATGGCAGTGGCAGTTATGGTTGTGTCAACTCCACTGCTAGTCTCCAAGGTCTGCTGTTTAATGCATTGCCAAGCAACAGTGCCATGAGGCCCCTCAATTGCAGACTGAGGCCAAACTCCAGGGGACTGGATCAGGAGGAACAGGTCCTAGACTATAGTCTTGGACTCCAGCTTGTTAGGGGCCACTTTAATCTTCACGGGCTCAGAGGGTAGTGGTTTAGCTCTGGATCGTCTTGCCCATGTCAAAAATCCACTCCAGGGCAGATTGGGGCAGACAACAAATATTTTGTCCACACTCTGAGAGCTCAGGCATTCCAATCCTGCTCAAATCCCTCTCTGTAAGACCCCTACATGTATACACACCAGGTATTTTCTATGTGATCTCTTAATGCATGCCCCCATCATCAGCCTCTCAGATGATTTGAGAGGACTTAAGAGAAAGGCTGTTCCAAGTCCTAGGGGTGGTCCCTGAAGTTTTCTGAACTCTCTGTTAGGAGCACTAAAGTGGACAGGGGAAAGGGAAGCTGCTTTAGAATACAGGGCTTTGTTAGAAGCAGTTACCTGAGCAATCCTTTGGAATCTCAGAACTGTACAGGATTTCAGTGTTCAGTGAATCCTCACTCTTTTCAAGGTTCAGAATGGTAAAAGTCACGTATACTTCCTCCTGCCCGTCTTCTACAAGATCCTCCAGCTGACTAATTTTTTAACCCACTACAATCTGAATCTGTTTCATTTTTAGTCTTCTTCAAAATTTTTCTTTCCCTCTCATATCTTAAATTGGAGTGCTCCTCAGAAATCCATTCTTTCCTGAATCAACATTGTGTCACTGAGCAAACACATTCACCCCTGTAAATCTATTATGCATCTACTGACACACCCAAATCTGAATTTCTCTTAAAGAAACTTCTGACCTTCAAGACTGTCAAAGGAATCCTCTAGTCAAAATTTCCATATGGAAGCCAGGTGTGGTGGTGCATGCCTGCTCTTGGGAGTTTGAGACAGGGTTGTTGCAAGTTTGAAGCCAGCCTGGGCTACATAGTAAGTTCAAGATCAGCCTGAATTATATACTGAGACTCTGTTCAAAAAACCAATAAATAAATAAATAACTAAATCCACATGGAAATCTCATAGGCACCTTGAATTTGACATGTCTACAAGAGAACACATCACCTCCCCCACTGTATTTTTTCCCAAGCAATTCTTCCCTGGGTTCCCCATGGTCCCTGAATGATATCTCTGTCTCCCCCTTACACCAGACCAAATTCCCAGGAGTGATCCTCGACACCTTTCTTGTGCTTATCTCCTGCATCCTATTGTTTGTTACTATGTTCCACTAGTTACATCTCTTTAATATACCTCAAATCCATGGCTCAAGTTTTTACGTCTCCATTGCTACTTCCAAGCATAGGGCTTCATCATTCTCTCTCACTTGGAAGCAACAGCTTCTTAACTGGTCTTACTTCCAATCTTGCCTCTTTTTTTTTTTTTTTTTTTGTACCAGGGATCGAACCCAGGACCTTGCACTTCAATTTCGCCTCTTCTAATTCATTCTCCACACTGTTGCCAAGGAGATCTTTTCATATATCTGATCAAATCACTACCCTAAGTAAGATATTCTAATAGTTCCCCATTTGTCAAAGGATAAGGTCCAAACTTGTTTGCACTCCATTACCTCCCAAACTTCACCTCATGCCATTCCCTTCCTCATATTCTCTACTTTTACTATACTATAGTATACTATATTACCCCTATGTCTTCAATCATTTTTTTTTTTTTTTTGCAAATCTTAGTACAGGCTGTTCTACATGGAATATCCTGCATTCTTCTTCTGCTTAGCTTTTTTCTCATTCTTTAAGACTCAGCTCAAAAGTCTCTTATTCTAGACTAGGCCAAGTGCCCCTCTTCTATGTTCTTACAGTATCTGATATTTCTTTATTTCCATCATCATCATCATCATCTCCACAATAGCAACACCTATATAGGGTTTCATTTTTGACCATTATAAGCACTTTACATATGTTAATTCATTTATTATCTCATTTTTTGTGGTAGGCACTAATGATCCCTGCTATACAGTAGATGAGGAAACTGAGGTAGAAGTATCACTTTTTGCACTATATTACAGTTTCCTGTGTACACTCTTATTTTCTGCTAGTCTGTGAGCAACTTGAGGGCAGGGTCTATATTTTATTTTTCTGTATCTTATGCACACAGTGCTTTACTCAGAGCAAGTGTTCAAAAATATTTTCTTTTTCCAGCCCCTTTTTCATCATATTTTCAGACAGGGTCTCACTAAGTCATTAAGTCACCCAGGCTGGCCTCCAACTTGGGATCTTCCTACCTCAGCCTCTCAAGTACAAAAATATCTTTTTAATGAATGAATAAGAGTGGTAAAGAGGTTTGAGGGGCTCCACATAACTATAAAAAAGGTTTTCTCAATGAGTCAATGACATTTCAGTGTAAGAATTACCAAAGTGCTACCTAATATTAGAAAGAAGTTTGAGATGAAGTAATCAGAGGTAGAAGGAATTAAATAAAGAGGGAGAGGGAGAAACAGACAGAAAGCAATTTTATGTGTGTATTGGTATACATACATATATGCATATATAGTAACTTATTGAATGGCTTGCCGTCTCAATTAAATTCTAAACAGTTTGAGAGTGAAAAATATATGAAACTTTAGTTGTGTCTCTGGAATATCAGGCCCATGGTTGATAATCAACACTATTCAGTGTTAGATATGATTATGCCAATGTTCATGCAAAGCAATGAAGAGCAACAGCCAATAAATACTTGATGATCTCTGTCACTTATCAGTTGTGATACTAAGTCCTTTCCCAGCGTAGGATTTTTTACTACTTACCTAGGCATTTATCAGGATCATGACTGTGCATGTTGGTAAGACCTTCAGTGCTACATGGAAATCCTTCTACTTCTCCCCGGTATGCATCCTCTTGATGACCACTTAAAGTATTTACTACTCTTTCTTAAGTAAATTCTCTTTTGCATCCAAGATCCTTAAAAAAGCCATTTACTATTGCTGTTTCTAGTTCTTTATTATTCCACTCACTTCTCAGCCCTTTACAATCTGGTATTTTCTATTAGCCCTCCACTGAGAATGTTCTGACTAAGATTATCAATTATTTCCTATTCCAACACTCAACGATCCTGTCCCTGTCATTTTACCTGTCCTTCTCCTTCATACAACTGCTTCTCCCTTGTTTTCTGTAGCACCACTCCCAGTTTTTCCTAGCCCTCAAAATGATTCTTTTAGGTCTCCCACGTTCCTCTTTTTCTGCCCACTATTTAAATCTGACTATTCCCCCAAGGGTTTTATCTAGACTGCTCTGCTTATTCTTCAATCTCCATGGGTGATCTCGTTCACTCTATCTCTGTGCCAATGAGTTCTAAATCCAAACCTCTGCTACAGATCTCCCTTTTGAACTCAAGGTTTATATAGTCAACTGCATTTGGAGTGGCCCCAAATGAATGTGTTAATGGCACCTCAAACTCAGCAGTTGTAAAACTGAAACCATCTGCCCTCTTCTCTCTTTACCCTGAAACTACTCGTACCGTGTTCTCCATCTCATTTCCTTATTTCCATGGATCATTAGACATACAATAACCCAAGCCAGTCACCCTTGATTCCTCCCCTTTTCTTGACATCTAATCATTATGAAATCCTGTCAGGTCTAAATTCTAAATAAATCACAAATCCATCCACGTCTATCTCCATTTCCCAAATCTTAGTTCAGACAATGGAACCATCATCTCTTGTCCATTTAGATATCACATAGGCATCTCAAATTGGTCTCTATAGTTCTACTTCCACCCTATCCCTGTAATCAATTATCCTTCCAGTAATCAAGAATCCTTCTAATGTTGAAATCAAATCATGACTATCACCTTTGCTATGTTTCAAAAACTTCAGGAGCCTTTAATTTCTTTCAGGATGAAGTTCAATCTCCCTATCTGAGGAAACCAGAAAAGCTGTCCATTGTCTGACTCTGCTTTTCTTCCCAGTTTCATCTTGCACTGTTAACATCCACCTTTATGCATTTTACTTCTATAACACACACACACACACACACACACACACACACACACACACACAGAGTCCAGCCATACCCGGGCACTTGTATTTATCGGAATTTGCCCCTTTTTTGTCTCCAAGTTCTTATGAATGCTGTTCTACCATCTACCATTTGTTTGGCTAGTTGCTAGTCATCCTTTAGGACTCATCCTCTCCTTGAGACTGTCCTTGGGGCTGGAAGTGGTGGTGCACACCTGTAATCCCAGCACTATAGCGCTATGGGAGGCAGAGGCAGGAGAATTGCAAATTTGAGCTCAGCCTGGGCAACTTAATTACTTAATGAGATGCTGTCTAAAAAAATAAAAATAAAAATAAATGATCTGGGGATGTAACTCAGTTGGGAATATGTTTGATCCCCAGAAGAAAGAGAGAGACAGAGACAGAGAAAGGTGTCCTTAGCCCCACCCCCACACCACAAGATGGGTTAAATGCTTTTCTGTTGTATCTTCTATCTATATCTGTACTTCCAGTAAAAGGTGCTGAGCTACCTTAAGGTTTTTATGGGAAAGCCCTCTTCCCTCCTAGAGCAACAGCTTTTGCTTTAGCCTTCCTGGGATGGCAACAGACCAGCCAAGCTTGAATGGGAATCAACAGTATCCCCAAGAGGAGAGCTTCTCCTCAGAGCCAGTTAGTTAGGAGAGTATTTGGGGGAACAAGGAGGGCAGAATCAATAAAATGTCATTATTGGGCCAGGGATTTAGCTCAGTGGTTCTGGTACCTGCCTCACAAGCGCAAGGTCCCGAGTTCGATCCCTGGTACCAAAACCCCCCCCCCAAAACAATAAAATGTCATTACTGAGGCTTGGTAACTCTAGAGTCTAGTTTGGCATAGCGGGGGAGGAGGAAGAACATGTTGTTAGAACTTATTCAAATGGAAAAAATTGCTCCCTGAAGACTAACTTCAGCCAGGGTCAGGAAAACAAGGTAGACAAAATAGCAAGTATGAAGTTGTGTGGTGAGCTGGGCTAGATTCTGTTTTTGTTTAATGAGCAGTAGAGGCAAGGGTAGACAGGGTTTAGATAATGGGTCCTGGACTGAATGTCAAAAGTTCTAATTTCTTGTTTTGGTTCTGCCTGGGACCTATTGTACAACTCCTCTCACTTTTCTAGGCCTTCATTTGCTCATCTCTAAGTTTTTAATTCTCAAATAAGGTAATGAGGACAGGAAGCCATCTTATCAAATATAGAAGTCTGAAGAGCAGCTAATAGAAGCAGGTAGCTTTAATAGAAAACTCCCTTTGAGAGATCCTCCTAGAAGCCAAGCACTGCCTGCTCTGGAGGAACAGAACTCTAGGCCTTGGCAGCTGAATTTGTCTCCTGGGCATGATGCCAACATACTCCATGGCCAAAGGGCTGGACAAGAAAGTTCCACTAAGAGCCTTACCTAATCTTCCTTAGAGGAGGGACTGAAACTGCAGGAGAGGATTAGAAGGGTCAACAGTGACAGCAGCTCCTGACTTAACCCTTTCTTACTGGGCACTTGCCCTGATATTTTCCCCACTTTTTTTTTTTTAACTCCAAAAGTCTTATACATGATGCTGCTCCTTTTACAGAACTCTCAAGAGACTGAGTAGGATGGGACAGTTGGGGTTCTCAAGCTCAAGGAAGGACCTGCTGTGATCTTCTGGAGCTGATGGAAGCCACCACAGCCCTTTTCTGTCAGCTTCATTTCGCTACCACTTTGATCTCATAGCTTCTCAGAGGAATCTAAGACACTTTCTTCTCCCTCTGTACCTCACTCCCAATGGCTCCAGCAAGTGTTTGTGCCATTCCTTTGAGAACCTATTTTCTGGAAAGTTTGTGCTCAGAACAGTTCACCTTTCCTTCTGCACCAGCTGATTGATAACAGTTCAGCGAATTGCAAATGTACTGAGAGATTTTCTAATTGCTTTTTAGAAAGGTTCATTTTTGTCTTGTCATTTAAGTAAAGCATGCTCATTTTTTTCTGTGGTATTGGCTCAGTTTAGAATGCTGGAAAACACAGAAAGGCAGAACTTAGAAAATAAAAAGCACCTACTATCTGTAGCTAGAAATGCTGTGAACGTTTTGGCTCTAACTCCATTTTCGAGGAGGACCCTTGAGAATAATGCCTCAGTCCACACAAGAAATTTTTGACAGACTTGCAGACCAGTCTACCAGTCCTGGAGAGTTATTTAAGGGCTTGAAAGGAGGACTTTATGATTTCACTTAGGAATCCCCTTTCTGCTGCTTTCCTGAGCCTTCACGCTGAAGAGGGCTTTAAAGCATCCAGTCCTCCTCAGTTCCCACAGTTAGATGAGTAAAGTGTTGGTCTTTTCTTCCTATATTTACCCCAGCCTTTTTGTCCCAAAAGTTCCACCCAGAAATTATCTAATTTGAAGAGTGTTTCTTCTGGTCCTGTACTTTCAATGAGTAGAACCTTTGTGACAGCTTTATGGAAACAAATACCAACAACACAAGTGCCATAGGAATTTTCTCTCCCATACCCTTCATTCAGAAACCCAAGGTTGGGGCCGGGGATTTAGCTCAGTGGTTTCACCACCTGCCTGGCAAGCACAAGGTCCCAAGTTCAATCCCTGGTACCAAACAACAACAACAACAACAACAACAACAACAAAAACAACCCCAAGGTGGCTCAACCTGATTCTATGTTCTAATCGACAAGCAACTAGGGAAAAGAAAGCACCCACCTAGGTGAATCTGAAAGGCAGCAACTAAATCAGTATTGAGGTACTTACGGGGCTGTTCTTTCGAAGAGCCTTGGAGGAGGAGATGCCCCTAGAGAGGGAGGAAAGGGTTCTGAGAAAGGAGAGTGAGGTTCAAGGGGTCATAAGCTAAGGTGATAAAGGATTTCTAATGGTTAACCACAGCTTTGCAAAATCCATCTGCAAATCCAAGCCTCATTACAGATGAGAATTAAACCCCTGGAGGCTGGGAACATTGAGGTACTTAAAAAAAATTTGGTGGGTTTTGTGTTTTTCCTGTCAAAAACTCCAGCTGGGCCTTTGTGTGCTGACCTCTGAGCACCTAGGAGAAACTGGGGGGGGGGGGCAGTTATTTGGCTCAAGTTGAAATTCAGAACATTCCAGCTTTGGGAGGAAGGTGAGAGAAGGGGGCTCTGTTAGGAGTCCCTGGCTAGCAACCCTAAGGCCCAACTGAACAAAATCCTCCTAAACAGCCTTCGTGAGCTAGTGCCTACAGCTCCACAGATTCTTCACCCGTGTTGGCTCTTCAGCAAGCCTACAGGTCTACTCCACCCTTCAGGCTGACCCCAATGTGTAAGGGCAAATATGGGTACCATACATTTAGACTGTGGATTCATAAAGCAGTTCCTACAAGGTGGGACTAAGGTGGCAGTACCACACATAGCAGTAGCATATTCTATGTCATTTACGCTTCTCAAAATTTCTGTGTAGTTCAGTGATTGAATTTCCTCTCCAAATTGAAAGAAAAGCTTTCCTGTTTTCTTAGGGCTGGGGATTTAGCTCAGTGGTTCTGCCGCCTACTCCACAAGGGCAAGGACCTGAGTTCGATCCTCAGTACAAAAAAAAAATTGTTTTTTGAATAGAAAGATACTAGATGCTATCAAAAAGAATTTGGAAAATAAAGTATAAAGAAGAAAATAGAGCTCCTTGTAATGCCACAAGCCAGAGATAATCACTGCGAACATTTTGATGTACTATAGAAGACATTAATAGAAACATTTGTTACAAAGTTGTTACAAAATCACACTATACCTACAATTCTATAACTTCTATCATTTCTTTCTTTCTTTTTTGGTACCAGGGATCAAACTCAGGACCTTGCACTTACAAGGCAGGCACAGCGCCACTGAGCTAAATCTCTGGCCCAACTTCTATCATTTCTAAAAAATGTGTCATGGACCTGTTCCCATGTTAATAAAAAACAGAGCTACATCATTCTCTTATGGCTACATTACATTTTATAATATAAAATATGATTTTTTCACCATTAACAGACATTTTTGTTATCTTCATATTTTCACTATTAAAACCTTGTACCTTAGTGCATAATACTGACAAATTCCTAGGCACAGAATTACTAGATCAAAGCATATGCATGCTTTAAAAGCTAATATGGCATATTACAAAAGTAGAGCAGCTATTACTAATGCCAGGTGAGAAAATTTAGGCTCAATGAGATGAAAGAATGAATTACCCAACATCTCAAGTTGAATTGTAAAATGTACACATGCAATCTAGATATCTAGTTTAGTGAATTTTCCAGTGTTCCACATTGACTCCTTCCCAAGGAATCCTATGTAAAAATGATAAGGCTAGTGGCCACTATTCATTGAACACTTTGTCAGTGCCAGGCACTGTGCTGTGGGTTTTCATATACATTGTTGATATAGGAGAACTATAACTCCCAACCTGTTAGATGTCAAATGTGCTGAGTTTGTGGTCTCACAACATCAAAGAATGAAGTCATGAACCAAAGGAAGAAATTAGGAGAGTTTTATTGGACATAAGAAGAGAAAAAAAAAAAAAAAAAGAATAGTTCCTGGATTTCCAGGAGGGGTCCCAAATGGGGTCACCTCTCAGGCCCTTTGTCAGGGGGTAATTTTTACAGCAAAGTCACAATGTGGGTACAATGTAAGTCAATCTACAATCAGTCTATAGGATTACAAGTATAGTTGCTTAGCTAATATTGATCAAATAGGGAAATGAGTCATGTAGTAAGGGTACACATGAAAAGAACAAAGGGATTTTGGGAAAGGGATGGATCCAGATGCTCTGGTCACCCACCTAGGCGACTGATGCCTATCTAGATGTACTGGACTAGGTGGTGCTAATTCCAATATAATCTCAAGTTATTGTTTATCTCTTAGAGAGGCATGTAGGCCTGAACATAGCATCTTTATCTTGAGGCCTGGCCTTCTTCAGATCCACCTCCAGCCACATTTCTGATGTCTTTATTTTTGTACTGACTTCCTTGAGAGCCCAGTCCCTCTCTGACTGTATATTAATTTCTATCTAATTTAGCTGACTATAATATTGTCTCCTTTAGCTCCTACAGAGGAGAGGCAGGCCTGCGCATCAAACCTGGCTAGCTCTGGAGTTTGACTTTGAATCAATATGCTTGATTCCCCTTTTCAAGTGATGTAAAAACAAACAGATTTGTTGCCAGGGGTGAATTCAGTGAAGCAAATCAGAAATCCTCCTCCTTTCCACAGTGGCCTTGCGGGAACTAATGGGGCACTGAATCCCAGCATGACTCCTAAGCAGGGGTCTCTCCAGGATGCTCCCTGTTTGGCAGACTGGGCCAGGCTAAAAAAAGCAGCAGGCATAAGCTCAGCCCCGAGGGTCTTTGAGTATGAAAACAAGACTAAAGTCTTGGGACATACCAGACTAATCCTGTAACTGGCTTTGTGACCTTGGCAAGTCTTTCCATCTTTTTTCCCCAGGCTTCACCTGGCTGACTTTCCAAGGCTGAGCTAATGAATTGGAAAGTATTTTGACAAGTAGAAAATGCTGGATGAATAAAAGACATTAGAATTTGTAGTAGAGGGGCACCTTATCATCTCACAGTAATTCTATGTAGTTGAGGATAGGAAAAGGCAGAATCTTAGGGGGCAGGTGCCAGGGCAGATGAAGGCACTGTGTTGGCAGGATGTGGTTACCATATTGGCAGGCACCCAAGGACTAAATTCTGACAAATGTTTCAAACAGGTCAGCACTGTCAGATCCCGGTGGAATCATGCCAAAGTGTATGCCTCCTCAGTGTTGAGCTTGGGAGACTCCTTAACAATGTCTGGTAAGACCAACTCCCCTGCTGAGATACAGTAACCCTAGATAGGTGGAGGATGGGGATGGATCCAAAAGAAGAGTGGAAAGAAGTGCAGCCTGAAAAAAGAAGTATCTAGCAAGGAGAGGAGTAGTGAGAGAACAAAGGGAAGAAAAGAAGGGCCTGGGAAGTGCTGAGTTAGGGAAGAGAGCTTTAAAAGAGGTGGGAGAAGAATCTTTAAGGAAGAAAATCTAAGAGGTCCATATAAAGCATGTCTGGAAGGAGCAGGAGGAGATGCTGCTATGAAAATAGGAGTCCAGAAGAAAAAAATAAATGTGACAAGGGGAAAAGTTATACAGATGAGAAGACTCTGGAAGGAGTTAGGGTCTACGTCAGGGAGAAGCTGAGAGATTTCAGCCTGACAGTTCCATCAAATAAGTAGTTCTTGCCATGGTCATCAATGACCCTATTGCACCAAATCCAATGGCCACTTTTCAGTCCTTAATTTCTCTCACCTCTGTGCAGCATTTAATACCCTCAATGAACTGCCCTGCTTGAAACGTGTTCTCTTGGCTTCTGTGATACAGCACCCCCCTGGGTTTCTTTCTAGCTCTCTACCTTTTTATTAGCTCCTCCTCCGTCTCTGTCAGATCCTAAAATGTGAGTAGAGAAGTAGAGAGAAGAAGTAGAAGAAAGGGCTGGGGATTTAGCTCAGTGGTTTCGCCACCTGCTGTGCAAGTGCAAGGACCTGAGTTTGATCCATGGTACCAAAAAAAAAAAAAAAAAAGAGAGAAGAAGAGTAGTTACCAGAGCCTGGGAAGGTTGTGTGGAGGAGAATGGAGAGAGGATGTTTAAGGGCTATAGGGGTGCAGTTGGATAGAAGGAATAACCTCTAATGTTCTAATAACACAGTAGGGTAGTTATGGTAGACTACAATTAATTAAATATTTCAAAATAAGTAGTAGAGAGGATTTTGAGTGGTTTCAACACAAAGAAAGGACGTATATCTGAGGTGATTGATATGCTAATTTTCCTGGTCTAATCATTTTTCATTATATGCATGTATTAAAATATCACCACTTCCCACAAATATATGCACATATTAGGTGCAGAACTTTGTGTGTGTGTTGTGTGTGTGTGTGTGTGTGTGTGTATGTGTGTTACTAAGGATTGAGCCCAGGGAGCACTGAGCTACATACCCAACCCCTTTTTATTTTGAGACAGAATCTTACTAAGTTACCCAGAATGGCCTCTAATTTATAATCCTCCTGTCTCAATCTCTGAGTAGCTGGGATAACAGGTGTGCACCACTAAGCCTGGCAAATTTTTTTTGTGTGTGTGGTTTCCAGAGCAATTTATTCATTAAAATCTATTCAATATACCATCAACAGTTTTCCTGTGTGTATTGTGCTGATAAACAGACACTGAGAAGATTTAACAAATTTGTCATTTAATAAGTCTGAATTCTTTTTCACCGCATGGTATTGTACACGGTCATCTGTTGAAACAGATTTTTTTTTTTTAACAGATCTTACTTTAAAAAATTCATAGATATTGTGAATTCTGTATAAACTGGTGGACAGCAAGTTACTTCCTTTGTTTTGACTTATAAGCCTCAACTTCACTGCAGGATAAAGAAAGCATAATCGGTCACTCATCTAGAACAGTATTGTTTCTATAATTTGAAGCTTTCTGAATGGACAGGTTCAGGCCTGGTCCAGCTGGCTTGGACCCTCTCACTTCCAGCAGCCGTTGGATAATGCTGTCCATGTTGAGTTTATCTATATCCGCCATCGCCTCCCCACCGCCAACCCTCCCGCAGCGGCACCGCCGCCGGCTCGCGCCTGGGACTCACACCCCTTTTTCTTTTTCTTTTTTTTGTTACCGGGGATCGAACTCGGGTTCTTGAGCTTGCAAGGCAGGCGGCGGAACCACTGAGCTAAATCCCCGGCCCTCACACCCCTTTTTCCCATGCCACGAGCACAGAGGTGGGTGGTGGCGGCGGTGGGAGCAGCCGTGGCAGGTCCCCTCAACCGCCCCACTCCTTGCTCTTCCTCCTTCTCTCCCCTACTGGAACCACGAGAAGAACAAAATGGCCGCCGACTCCTCAGCCAGCCTTGGGCGGCGCGCCAGCCTGGCAAATTTTTAAAAAATACTTGGGCCGGAAAAAAAAACAAACCTGGGCCGGGGATTTAGCTCAGTGGTTCCGCCGCCTTCCTCGCAAGCGAAAGGACCAGAGTTCGATCCTCGGCACCAAAAAAAATTTAAAAAATAAAAAATACTTTAAAAATATTGGGCCGGGGATTTAGCTCAGTGGTTCCGCCGCCTTCCTCGCAAGCGAAAGGACCCGAGTTCGATCCCCGGTACCAAAAAACCCCCCATATATAGGTGTTTCTCAGGAGTCAAACCTCAGTCCTCTTCTCTTCTGATTCTGCATTCCTACTCTGAGAACTCCTGTGTCCTCCATGGTTTCAATTACTTTATATAATCTAATGGCTTCTAAATTGTCATTTTCAACCCAGACTTCTCTGAACCTCAAACCTCTATGTACTGGCATCATCATTTAGGTAGCTCACAGACATCCCAAAAGTAATATGACCAACATTGTATGCTTGATTACCCTTTAAACTAAAACAAACCTTCCATCAGTCTTCTCTACTTCAGAAAGCTAATTGTTAAGCCAGAAATCCCAGAGTGAGCCTTAATTTCACTCTTTTCTCTTTCTGTGAGCCTCTACACCCCATCTCATCTGACCTGTAAGTCCTTCCAATTCTACTCCAAAATACAGCCTTTCATCCCTTTGCTGGTTTCCACTTCTACCTCCATTGCTATTATCTCTGACCTGGACACTGCAACAGTCTCTCAACTTTTCTATTTCTACTCTTGTTCATTCTCCACACAGTAGCTATGCACTCTCTGGCCCCCACCTAGCTCTCTCTCCCAGCATATTTCATGCTATTCTCCTCCTCATTACACTCCCCACCAGCTTCCTTTATGTTTCTCAACCCTGTCCTGCATCCCTTCAGCTCTAGGCCTTTATAAGTTCAGTTCCTTTACCTGGAACTCTTTCTGGACCCTGACCTCACCCTCATCTGGCTTTGTGTGGTAAACTTCTTATCATTCGGGTCTCAGCCTTAGGCACTGCTTCTCTGATCTTTATGTCCTTCATCTGTGCTCCAAAGTATGCTGGTATCTTTGTTAGTCCTTCTGCCAATCATCCTGGGTTGTAGTTCCTGTTTCTTCTTCCCCACTGCCCTGTGCCAATGCTTAGAGGGCTTGGCTTCAATTTGTCATTTTCATCACTCTATTCTAGTCAAATATGGTGATTAGCATATAGTAGGTGCTCCATAGAAATGATGCAATTGAACTGAGAACAGAGTGTGATAAGAAAAGACATAGCCAAGCTCTCTGGGAAGAGGGAACTCTGGGAGAAGAGGAGGGAAAGGCAAGATGATTCTGTAAGGAAAGGGTGGGTGGGGAAGAGGAGTTCTGGAAGGGAAGCAAGAGAAGGATTCACAAAGACATCTGTGAAGAGAGAATAACAGTTTGAGAGGAGATGGATACAAAGGTTTAGAAGGAGATGTGTGAAGCAAGTGATTCTCAAGCATCAAAGCATAGACTTTTAAGCAGGAAGGTATGGAGTGGTGAAGGAATAACCAGTAGGCAGAAACTATAGCCAATGTAGTGGGATTTCTAAATTATATAAAGTGTATTCAATGTAAAGGAATATCTACAGCTCTATGCTTATTCTTTGAATAGTTGGTGTTAAACTTTCTTTTGTAAAATAAAAAGTAGCATTATTTTAATGTCCCTAATTACAAAAATAAAATTTTAGCAATCACATGTCAGTTCCCCTTCATTTTTTAAAACTTTGAAGTTGCACTGGTCCATGTAATCTCAAAGAGAGGAGAATTCTGGGAGGAGACCAGTCTATGTCAATGGGTCTCAAAATTTTTGGTTGCAGAACTACTTTACAATCTTAAAAATTATTTGTGAAATGATCAAAAAATCTTTCAGCTATAAATAGGTAAACAAACTATGCTGTGTCTGCACAATGGAATGCTACCGAGCAACAAAAAGTTACAGCTAGTAATACCAGTAGCTACATGAATGAGGGTCAGATGCATTATGCTAGGTGAGAGAAGCCAGACTCCAAAGTCTGCTTATAATAAGATTCTATTGAAATGATATTCTCAAAATGACCAAGCCATAGGAATGGAGAACAGATTAGTAGTTGGCTGGGGGTGGGGAGGGGGAAAAGGATGACTACAATGATGTGGCACAAGGGAATTATGGGTGTTGGAAATCTAATGGTTGTTGCAATTACTATAAGCCATAATAAGTCTAATGGTTGTACACTGAAAAGAGTGAATTTCATGCATCCTTCCACATTTTGTCACACAGAATGTTAGAAAGACATGTTTGTAAATTTTAAAATAAAACATGTTGGTTAAAATTATTGAGGTCTTCAAAGGGCTTCCATTTTCATAGGTTATACTTACTGGTATTTTACATTCAGACTTAAAATTGACACATTTAAAACTATTTGTTTATTAATTTAACATCATAATTATAAATTCATTATGTGATAATAAATAACGTATTTCTGAAAACTAACTATTTTCCAAAGCAAACAGTGTCAAGAAAAGTCACACTGTATTTCATATTTTAAAATCTCATTAATAACTGGCTGGATAAAAGGCAACTAGATTCTCATATCAGCTCTGGCATGCAAGCTGTTGCAATGTATTGTTTTTGGTTGAAGTATGTGAGGAAAGTCCAGCCTCATAAAGACAGGTAATTGGAAAAGGGGAGCATTTAATAACTTTTTCCAGCAGAATTCTAAGATTGACCCCCAAATGATTCTCGCTTGTGTATAAATTCCCTCCCCATTGAGAGTGGGTGTTTATAAGAGTCTCATGGTTATGTTAATTATATGACAAAGAGAATTTATGGGGGGCAATCTAATCAAGGATCCCTTTAAAAGAAGGGTGGGCTTCTAGTGGGAGAAAAGGAAGTCAGAGAGATTCAAATGTGAGAAGTGCTCGATATACCATTAATGGTTTTAAAATGGAGGGGACCATATGAGAAGGAATACAGGCTGTCCCCGGGAGCAGAAAGCAGCCTTTGGAGGAGAGCCAGCTGGGATCTCAGATCCATGCTCAGAAGGAACTGGATTCTGCTAACAACCTGAGTAAGCTGGGAAAGGGATTTTTTTCTTCAGAGCCTCCAGATAAGAGCCCAGCTAATTGACAACTTGTGGGACCCTAAGCAAAGAACATAGGTGCATCCAGTGGACTTTTGACCTACATAATTGTGAGATAATGAGTATTGTATCACATTGTTAAGTCTGTGGTAATTTGTTATGGCAGCAATAGAAAACTAATAAATTGTGTGGGCTTCGTCTTGATAACTATACCTAAACTCTACAATGGTAGTTTTTTAATGTTTATTTGCAATGTTGAAACTAACACCATATCAAGGAACACTTTGTACTCTGTTACATTAAGAACCAAAAAAAAAAAGAACCATTGGTTTATCTTGCACTTTGAATGGATCTGTTGATATGATTTTGTAACATTATGCATTAGTCATTTAGAAAATATCAGTCCACCTAGTTATGCAGATTTTCCAATTGTTGATTGATTTAAAAATTATTCAATATAAAAATCATGTTCATTAGTATTACTACTATAATCTTATAAAAAAGGTATTTAAGTGTCCTGGGAAGCTCTCAAGCTTACAGTAGCAGATAGAGGTTTTCTTAAAAAAGTGCTTTTTAATTCCTTTATTTTTGGAGGGGTAGTGCTGGCGAGTGAACCTAGGGCCTGACACACACTAGCCTCTTCCACTGAGCTACACCCCCAGCCCTGTGCCTTTTACTTGAAGGCTTACATTTCTTCATTGCCAACAAATGCTAACAGTTGGTTTCCTTGAGATGATAGTATCATTTTGAAAATACTGGCCACGTTCCCAAGTTTGAATAATCACAGATTACCTGTCAATTTCAAGTAAAACACAAAGTGTTCCATGAAAAATTGCCTAGTTTAGCTTGCAATTCAATTGTACAAGTGCTATTCTTCATGACAACCATCATCCTTCAGTATGCACTAGATGTGCTTTGCATATCTTTCCTATTTTGTCACACAGATTATTTGTCACATTGAAAGGATTTATAGTGAATAAAAATTAATAATTCTTATTGCTAGGGCTGGGAATTTAGCTCAGTGATGCCACCACCTGCCTCGCAAGTGCAAGGTCCTGAGTTCAATCCTTGGTACCAAAATAATAATAATAATAATAATAATAATAATAACTCTTATTGCTTTGTTGGGATATTCCTAAGTGTAACTGACTTCTTCTGCCAAGAATACACTGGAATGAAGACTGACACAGATAGCATGAACACTGGCCTTATTCGTACAGAGGCATCAACACTTTTACTCATCATTGCTTTTGTTACTTCAAGTGCAAACCACAGCAGAAAGAAAATACTGTCAGTATTATTGTAAAAAGAAACCAAACCTCCTGAATCTTAGGGGTCCCCTTGGTTCTTTGGACCACATTTTTAGGGTTGCTGGTCTATGCCAAGACCAGAAAGGGTAGGAAGAGGCTGGAGGTGGGGGTTGTAGAATTGAAATTTTAAGCATGTTTAGAAGTGGCAGTAGAAAAGCTGGGAGCGGTGACACATGCCTGTAATCCTAGTATTCTGGGAGGCTGAGGCAGGATAATCCCAAATTTGGGCTCACCATGGGCTACTTAGTAACTTAGTGAGACTGTGTCTCAGAATAAAAACTTTAAAAAGGGGTGAAATGTAGCTCAGTGCCAAGGCCCTGGGTTCAATCCCTAGTACTGCGAAGTGATGATGAGATGATGATGATGATGATGATGATGATGATGATGATGATGATGATGATGAAAGGCAGTAGAGAAGGCAGCTGGGAGTGAAGAGTAGAAGATCTTCCCCCAAGAACCAGTGCCATGCCCCTTCTTGCTCCTGATCCACCTTGTTCCTGAGCTGTCCCAGGCAAGTTAACAGTTCTCTTCTAAAAGCTGCCCTCATCCTGAGATCTTGGATGTTATGTCTCACAAGGTCACAATACTAACAGAGAATACCACCCTGGCCCAGCCAGCCACCTGTCATGGCTGTTTGCCATTCCACCCTGAAGCCGCACTGCTCTGCTAGACTAAATCTTTTTGTCTTCTTAGACCAAGTAGCCTATGTCAAACCCCATTCCATTCACATGGAACAAGAACCTGCTGTGCACTGAGTCCTGTGCCAGGTGCTAATAGGTGAGAGGAGACACTATTAATCGACAGCCCTTTTCCAAATTACCTCAACAGAGAGGTTCCTTTAACATCTGAAAATGGATTAAAAAGAAAGCTAGTACCCTTTCATGGGACAGATGTTCAGATGACAGGCCTTTGGTAGAAGGCAAATATTAGCATGGCTTGGAGGCTCCCTGAAGTGTGGGGCCAAGAAGGACCTGAAGGGAGAGGTAGAAAGCGCTCTAGACTTGTGCAGAGGAGGGGAGTGATGACAGTCATGTGCAGGCACAATGTAGCAACAAGCATGCCAGAAGAGAAGAAAGCTGGATGGAGTTGGGGTTAGGTGGAAAGTACAGGGAACATCTGTGAATGCCTGGCTTCTCCCCTTCAGTCATAAGTTGTCAGTGCAGGTGTGGGAGCAGGGTTCCAGACATTTAGGAGCTGCACTTGCCCCAGTATACAGAAAACACCTTGGAAGTATGTGAGGCCAAAAGAACTAACACCAGTGTACCTACAGTATTTGATTTCATCCTCGCTCCAGCCTTGTGACATGGATGCTATTATTTTTATCCTCAGGAATTTGAGGCTCAGAGAGATGGATTAATGTAGCTAAGGTCACCTGGATGGTAAACTACCAATGAGGGATTCTGACCTAAGCCTGCTTCTAAAGCTTATACTCTGAACAACCATAATATAGTCAATGATGAAGGGGAAGGAAGGGAAGAATAATTATAATAATGATAACAGCAATGTATACTGAGTGCTAGATACATGTTGGGCTTTAAGCAAAACTACATATTATTTCATTCAGTCTTCACCACAACTCTGTGAAGTAGAGACAATCATTGTCTCACACACCCAAGTCTAACTCTAGAGCCCTGGCTTTTTCACTTCAAGGTCTACTGCAGAAACTCAGGTGTTAGATGGTAAGGGCCTGAGGTAGGGAGGCACCAACTCCATAGATACCTGATCCTCAGTAAATCACTTAATCTCTCTGTGCCTGTTTTCTCCTCATCTTTTAAAGGGAGCAATAATATCTCATAGGATTTTTTTTTTTTTGGTACCAGGGATCAAACTTAGGACCTTATGCTTGCCAGGCAGGCGCGGTGCCACTGAGCTACATCCCCAGCCCTCTCATAGGATTTTTGTAAGGAGTATGTGGAATAAAGCAATAAAGTGCTTAGCACAGTGCCTGGAACATAGTAAGCACAGAATAATGTTTAGTTGTTTTTATTCTATTTATTTATTTGTGTGTTTGCTTATTTGAAGTACTGGGCATAGAACCAGGGGCCATTGCCCTGAGCTATATTCTCAGCCTTTTATTTTTTAATTTAAGATAGGGGCTCGCTAAGTTGTGCAGGCTGGGCTCAAACTTGAGATCTTCCTGCCTCAGCCTCCCAGAGTGCTGGGATTACAGGTGTGCACCACCACACTTGGCTTCATTTTCATTGTTCTTCTTATTATTTTGTCAGGGTCTACTTGCTACCCCCAAGGAAAGTACCTGCCACTAATTACCACTATCTGTTGTTGTTTTTATCTAGGATCACTAGAACACCAAGACTAAAAAGACAAGAAAAGATGCTGCTGCTGAGAATTCAGTGTCACTATGTCTTCCTAAAGCCTAATGGCACACTGGGAAAGGAGGCATCTCAGAGAAGAGGCAATGGAGAAGCTGACCAGGTGAGCTAGGCCTGGATATGGACCTACTGAACCTGGAGGGAAGGAGACTAACTGGCAATGATGTTTCCAAGCCTCCTGCCTCCGGCCCTCCTCTTTTTTGAAAGTTTTGTTTTTCTGAGCCTGGGCTGTCCAAATGAAGAGCAAACAGGAGCTACAAGAGGCTCAGCCAAGACATGTACCACATGGGCCACAACCCTGACTCAAATGGTGGGACAAGAGGCAGAGGGTGCAGGAGGAGAGCTGATCTAGCAACAGACTGTTCTCAAGAGGAGGCTCCCCATCCCAGCAACCTTTGAGGCCGAGTCCAAGACTCAGCACATTTGGGACATTTGGACTTGGATATGGAGGCCCCAGGCACCATTTGCTATTTTTGCTTTGGGGACAGGCTTGGCGTGGGGTGGGAGAGAGAAGACCTTTCCCTTTCCTCCTCTCTCTGAGCAGGCCCTGCTTTTGACCTTGCCACCAGTTGGCACCCTCACTGGGTGTTTGGGCTTCCTGCTGCCAACCCAAGGCTCTGGCTCAAGAGGCCTAGGCTACGGGAAAAGAGGAAGATCTCCTTTCAGGAAATGAGAGGAGAACTTGTTGCTCTGGTTTCATCCCAGCCTTTGAGATCCTCCTCCATCAGTGTTGTGGCCTAAGCTCTCACTCTTCCTCGGTCAGTCCACTTTTCTCTTTGGCCTCCAGTGAGAGCAGTATGGTGAAGAAATTAAGAACACAGAAACTACCTGAGTTTGAATCCCAGCTTTAGCACATTAGCTCTGTGACCTTGGGCAGGTTCTTTCTATTCTCATCTGAAGAATGAAGTGTTTAGTTGTGTCTAACTAATGTAGGAAACTGTGTTTCCTAAGGTTGTTTGTGAGGTTTAAATTAATCCATGCGAAGCACTTAGAACAATGCCTGGCACATAAATGTTTAACAAATGTTCTCTGCTCTTATTATCTGCCTCTGTGCCAATTCTCGGTGCCAAGGTTACATCTCCTTCTTTCTGATTCCTTAAATCCAGCTCAGCTCAATCCCTTCCTTGTCTGTGAGTCTTCCTGGCATGATCTACTCTGCTGATATTGCTAACACTCCCCAGGGAGACCAGAAACACTGTGAGAGCAAAGGGCTATGATATGAACAGCACCGACTAAATGAATCATAGGATAACATCAGCTAAATTGATTTAGTACTATCGATTTTTTATTTTTTTATGGCACTGGGGATTAAACTCAGGACCTTCTCACTGACCTACACCCCCAGACCTTGTTTTTTATTTTTTATTTTGAGAGTGATTCTTCTGCCTCAGTCTCCATCAGTGCTGGGATTATAGGCATGCACCACCATACCTGGCTTGACAATTTTTTTATTGTGACCTACAGTAAGAAATATATTTTATAGCATGACCAAGTGCATGTATTTGCATATCTTTATATATAGATATATTCATATGAGTAAAACAAAATTTTACAGAATAATATCCATGCTTATATTTGCTATTCATGTTGTTCAGAGCTGGTTGCAGCCCACTAAATCAGTTTTAAGCCCTGCCATTGGTTGTGATCTGAAATTTGAAAATCACTGCTTCAAGAATGACCCTGAGTCTCCCCTTCTCTGTGATAAATTCTATCTGGGGTGGATTTAAGATGCCCACAGGTCTAAAACCTTGAAATGATTAGAGGTGAATGGCCTGTTTACAGAATGGAGATAGAGTCAAGGGGGGCTGCGGTGCATGGTGTCTGTGTGTGGCGAAAGGGTTGCTGGGGAGAGAGAAGTCTGGGGAGGCAGAAGTCTAAAGAGACAGGGTGGGCTCAAATGGCAAAGGGCTGCCACACAGAGGAGACTGGATTTTTCCTGTGGGCAGCTGGGAATCACTAGATGATTTCAAGCAGAGGAAGATGACATAGTACTCAGTTCTGTGCTTTAGAAAGATCACTGGAGCACCTGTGCAGAGAATGGATGGATAATACTAAGTGAAAGACAATCAAGACTCTGATTTGGGCATCCAGGTGAGAAAGGACAGAGGAGACCATCATTGAAGAAACAAGTGGGAGAGTGGCAAGCATGGAGGAGACAGTTGTGAGGAATGGTGAGAACTAAAATAGGTAGAGCGTTTAGCTTGAGTGACGAGGTCAATATGGTGCTGGCTACTGAGGCAGATGCAGAGGAGGTTTGTTGGGAGAAAAATTGTTTGGCTTTCAAATGAGTTTAAAATGCCTATTGGGAAAAATTGCTGGCTGGAAATATAACTCATTCTTTTATTCATTCAATATATATTTTTTTACTTTTAAATATTTTTATTATGATAAAAATATATAAAATGTATGTAATACAGCAGTTATCATTTTGACCCTTTTTGAATGTACAATTCAGTGGTATTAAGTATATTTATAATATTTAAATATATATGTACATAGCCAGCACCATTGTCCATCTCCAGAACTATTTTATCACCACAAACAGAAACTCTTTAACAGTAACTTTCCATTACTCCCTCTCCCAGCCCCCAGTAACCATGACTCTCCTTTCTTTCTCTGTGAACTTGCTTATTCTAGGTACGTTGAATAAGTGGACTCATACAATATTTGGTTTTTACTTCATAATGTTTTCAAGGTTCAACCACCTTCAGGTATCAGTGTTTCATTCCTTTTTAAGGCTGAATAATATATTGTATGTATACACCACATTGTGTTTATCTATTCAGATCTACTTTGAAAGATTCTTTTGTCAGTGGTGTGGAGGACAGATGGAAAAAGGAAGAGAGCACAGGGAGGGACACTAGGTCAATAAATATTTATGAGACTGATATAGAGTAACTAACATTTTATTTTTCCAAGTGGAAGCATTAAAGAAATAAACTATCATTCACCATCACCATCATTTTACTATCAAAAAATAGGAAGGGCATATTCTCAGAATGCAGGACAGTTTTTTATAATTAAATGAATTTACAATGCTGAAAAACTCTTCTAACAAAGTTTTTCTTATTTTGCTGTGATCCATTGAAAACATCACTATGTGTCAGCTTGATCTGTGGACTGGCATTTGAAAAATAGGCAGAGAAAGAAAGGTCAGCAAAGGAGACTATGAGGTTCAATTCTCAGCAAACACACACACACACACACACACACACATCCAGAGATAGGAGGAAAACCAGGAGGGAGTGATAATAGAAGCCAGAAGAGGAAGAAAAAGCTTCAGAAGTAACCTCTTGGCCAACAGTGTCTTTTGTCACCCAGAGTTCAAAGAGGTCGTTGAATTTGGCAATTAGAATGTCATTGGTGACCTTTGGCATTGCCCTTTTGCTGGGATGATGGGACTGGGGCCAGCTTACATTTGGTTGAAGTGTGAATAGGGAGCTGGAGTAAGTGTAGACTCTTAACAAACTTGAAGTGAAGGGAAGAAAAGAGAGAGGGAAGGAGGAAGTGAGAGAGTGAAAAAGAGATTGAGAGAGAGAGAGAATTTAGGAGAGCAAGCGAATACATGTAGGGAGGGAGGGTGCTCCATTTTGGTTGAACAGATAGGCATTTTGTGTTCAAAAAGAAATAAGCTGGTAGAGGGAAGCTGAACTTTCCTGAAGAGATGGAACATAACATCTGAAGGAAGGACCTGAGAAAGAGGGTGGATGAGGCCAAGGCGAAGGGATTAGAGTTTAACAAAAGGGGCACCTTGTCCCCTGAGAAGGGAGGGCTGGAGGGGAAGGAAGTTGGAAAGGCAGGCCAGTATTTGGGGGGTGGAGCAGGGCGCTGAGGTAATTCACGCTTGAAGGCCTTTGTTTTCTCAGGGAAGTAGAGGAGAGGCTGTTCTGAGCAGGGAGAGGGGTGGAGCATTAACATGGTAGGGAGCTGAAGGAAGTTTGGAATGTGGTCCAGGGAAATATAGAAGCTGGAGCTAGGGCTTTGACTAAGGAATATGCTCCAGGTTGGCTGAGGGGCCCTGGCTTGGCAGAGGCTGATTGAGTTTGTCTTCTCCCAGCAGTTTTTGTCTCTCTCTAGGCAGCGAACACTTAGAAGCAGAGGCCCTAGTACCTTCCACTTCCTAGCCCATCTACTTGCTAAGCAATGTCCAGTGAAGTGTCTGGCCCAGAGGAGAAACCCAATCCTCTCAGAAAGGTCTAGCAAAGCAATCATCGACAAAACTTAAAAGCACTATAGGGTTGTTAGAGAGGAAAACAAGGGAAAAATTTAAATGCCCTGATAGGAAGTTCTCCATTTTGGTTGATCCAGATGTCTTCTGTTACCCTGTTGCCAACTTTAATCTGCTTCTGTGCAAAATGTAAAACCAAACTGCTACACTCCTAGTTTTTACCCAGCAACAGGTCTTTAATCCTACAGGCTGAGGAGAGGCCAGCAAGAGGGGCCAAATGCCTTAACTTCTCACAGTGAGTGAAGCTAAGGTACTTCTTAGATGGCAGCAAGATAGAGCAGTTGTGGAGGGAGAGTAAAGAGCCAGGAAAATGGACAAAAGCTCCTTGGGCTCTAAGAGAGGACACTGAGAGCTGGGTGTAAGGCGGTCCCTGAATTCTGCCACTCTGGAGGATGAAGGGAGTGGCTGAAAGAACAGAAGTTCAAACTGGGAGGTGGTATGTTGATATCTAGTTGAGCATGAGCCCAAAGCTCAGGAGAAATAGCTGGGTCTCCCCCTCTTCCTTCCCTTCTCCTTATTGTCAGAGGCCACCTAGAGGTCAAAAAAATTCCAGCATATGGTACTATGTCTTGGGCTTCTTTCTCCTTCCCATACTGGCTTTGCACTCAGTGTCTTCAACTTCAATCCTCCCAGACTCAGTCCTCATTACAGACAGTGACTAGAGTACAAGCAAATTCCCAACTCCTGGTGGTCAATCCAGCAAGAGTGTTCAGAGATGGCTAGAAGCTCAGCCTCCCACCAGAATATGTTTTCAGGATCCAGAATCCAGTCTGCGCTTAGAAAATTCAGAAACAGGGAGCTCTCCATAGCCCACAGCTGTGCATTCTACTGGGCGCATTTTATCTCATATAACAAACCTCTGTTTATTGAGAGCTGGTACAGTGCCAACCTCTCCTAGGTTAGATAGTGGCCAAACTGTTACAAAGTTTCCCTTTGATTGAGCCAAAATGTGTCTCCCTAAAGCTTGTACCCTTGGGCCTCAGCCTTGTCTTTTGAAGTCACAGGGAGCAAGTATTTTCCATTCCGTCCTAATCCTCAGATTTGAAAATGATTATTATTTCTCCAAGAGTTTTCTTTCCACCTCACATAAACATTTCTTTCTTTGTCTTTTGAACTTTATTTGTCTTTACTTTTTATTACCCAAGTAACATCAGTTCAGTTGTGGAACATTTTTCCAAATTCAGAAAAGCATAAAGAAGGAAGTAAAATATCCACCCTACTCTTCCTCTCAGCATCAACAATTTTAACATTCTTCTAAGCCAGTGTTTTCTTTTGCATACTGTACATTATGCACTGTTTTCTTACCTAAATAGTATCATCCTCTAAGTAATATTTTAGAAGCATATGTTTTTCCTTCTTGAATATATTAACTTTTCCCTCATTCTTCTACAAGACTAATCTTAATGTGAAATAGTTTAACTGCACCAAGGATATATTTAACCAGCTTTTTCAAGTGAACTATTTAAGTTGTTTTCAATTTTTCTTTGCTACAAAGAACACAGTGAGACTAGGATTTGAAGTATGGTGGAGGTGGGGAGTAGGTAACCAGGGAAAAGAGGAGCCCTTGAATAAAATTAGTCACACTAAAAAAAATTACACTATTTTAGCATCCATTTTTTTTCATTTTCTGTGTTGATAATTATATTTCCTAGAAGATGGCTGTGAGTGTCTGCTACTATTTGGTTGCAAGGATTTACCTTAGTCAGTGTAACTGGTTTCCTAATATTAGATGTTGAGGTCATTTCTAATTTTTGATAATCACAAACCAGGCTGTGATGCATATCCAAGCAGCTAATCTGTACTGGTACTGGACACAGAGGTCAGGAGGAATATTTTCGAGATGTCTAAAGTATAAGGTATCTGCCAATAGTTGTAACTGGAAGCTTTTTGGCAAAGGCCCAGAAGGCTGGCTAAGGCCAAGGACCGTGTCTAGCTTCTGGGTTTGTTTGGGACCAGTACCCATATCCATCTTTGGTCACAGAGGGTTCAGACTGGTAGGGGCTGTGGGGACCACTGGATCAGCTCCTTCACCACACACGTGAGAGAACTGAGGCATGGGCTGGTCCTGCATCCTGGAAGCAAGTAGAACTCTGCCTCCTCCAGCCCCCTGACTCCTGAACTGGAAATTGCTTGCTGAGATTTGGTTTCTGCCTCAAAGGCCCTGCAAATTTCTGCCTGCTCTTCTTCATTGTGCCACTGAGGCTGGAGATTCTAGCACTCTTGGAAATTCATTGAACAGTAATGGTGTGAAGGAATGTTGAAAGGAGACTTAAAGTTCACCTCATGGGCAACTGGGCCTGCTCCACCCAGAACTCCATTTTTGCCTAACCTAGAGGATATGTTTAATGGCAGTCACCCTATATCAAGTCTACCTGGCAAATCTTTTTGGGGTATGAACTGAAAGAGCAGGTGAATTCCTCACTCCCCTTGAAGGGGTTAGCTGCCCTTTCAACTGTTTGTGGTTTGAGGGGTTAATAAGCTCCCCTCCTTTCCTCCTTGGGCCTTGCTACTGCCTGAGGAATTCACACAAATGGTATGCAATTTGCCCCTTTGGTATATTCCTTTCTGACTTGAAGCTAAAGCAAATCACTCACCTCCCACAGACACCTTATTTATTCAACTGAGAGATTTCATACCCAAGCACCCAACTGTCCCTCTCTGAGTCCCTTCCCTAAATGTTCAACTCCCTCCCAAGTCTCCCACCCCTGCACTCCCTGAATAATATATGAGTTCATGCAGGGCTTATAAAAGGGTCTCTGGGGGAAAGACCAAAAGAGTCTTGAAGGTTCTGAGAGGTAGGAGAGCCCACAGCTTGCCTGGCCTTTGTGACCTAAGAATGGACCCTGTCACTCCTGCTGTTGCTGCCCCTGGCCCCGCCCTGGCTCCAGCCTTAACTCTGTCCCTACCACCACCCTCCCAAGTACTCCCTGGCCTGTTATACCTACCACCTCTTGTTTCTTCTGGACAAGAATTACCAGGAAGTAGAAGGTAAGTGGAACCTGGTCTTTGATAGCTTGAACTAAGGCTTAGGGGATTCCTTCCAGAGGGAGGACAATGAGATCTCCAAGGTTACCTGCTCTCTATGAGGGGAGAGGCAATAGTCTAACAGCTCTTCCTCTTCCTCTCTGTATGGAATGTTTCATCTGGCTTTTATCTCCCTAATCCCTCTGCATGGCAGGAGGGGACTGGGGGACAGTGCGCATTGCCAAAGCTAAAAGCCAAGGAGGGGCAAGGTTGTGGAGTCCAGTGGCACAGGGGAGACTGCTCTGAAAACCGGGCTTAACATGACCAAAACTGTGGGGCCTAGATGGTGGCAGGGGGATCTGGGAAAAAGGGACCAAAGTCTAAAGAGGATTTTACTATGGCATTCTTTTTCCTAACCATGTCATTGTTGTTTAAGAGATCAGAGAGACCAACAGGTAAAACAGGAGGATTTATTTAGGTGTGCATCGGGTCAGTGGATTTAAATCTAAAGGCTGAGCCCAGAACAAAGGAAAGGCTTGAGCTTTATAGATGTTGCTGAAGGAGGGTTGGTGTCTACCTAATGGCATAAAACTTGTGGGTGGACAAGAGAGTTTTCAGAAGCAGAACAAAGGCAGTTACTCAAACAGTGACAGTTTGCAACCTAGCACATCTTGGTAGCCTTGGCTGGGTGAAAAGAAACAGGCTCTTTTAAAAACAGGATATTGTGAAACTGATACTTATAGGAACAAAGTTGGCAGGACAAAGAACAGGTGCCACAGGGAGGGGGAAGACTAAAGGGGAACTGTTTAGGTTGAGGAAACTTGTTTTTTCTTCTTTTTAAAGACCTACTTCATTCCTTCCTTTGATGCTTTTTATAAATGAGTGTCAATAGAGAGCATCATCATTATCCACCTTGTTATGAAGAGGCTGGCTCTCTATTGGGTAGGTGTTCGTGCTTGGTCAGAGCCATTGAGTGGTGGTGTGTCTGTCTCTATGGCCTACTGAATGTTTCTGACAAGTAGGGGAAAAAAGCAAGGGAGAATGAGACAAATTCTCAAGATAGAACTGTTTCTATCAAGGTCTTGAATCCTCTAATGGACAAAAACCAGCCTCTAAAGAGAGAATCCAGAGACCATCTCTTCCATTTTTGGGCTGGGACATGGGCCAATTTTTGAATTTTAGCAGTAATGTCTTTGATGACCTTTCTATTTTTTTTTTTTTTTTGGTACCAGGGATCGAACTCTCGTCCTTGCCCTTGCGCAGCAGGCAGTGAAACCACTGAGCTAAATCCCCGGCCCGATGACCTTCCTATTGTCATCAGTATCTAGGCAGCAGTTAGTTAAATTGAACTTTCTGCATATCTCTGTTTCTCAGCATGGACCTCAAACCAAGTTTTATAAGGTGGAGACTTAGTGTCATAGCAGATGTAAGGCTGGTTGTCTCCTGGGTCACAAACTGAGTAAATCGATTATGATTATATATTCCCTGGTGTGTCCTTGTATATTTATAATAGGTATGATATATCAGGGTTTTTATTATGATGCTCCCTGATCATGTGGTGTAGATGCAGTGGGAACATCCCTCTAGGGATTTTTCTCCTACAGGGGCAAAGGGAGAATTATAACAAAAAAGGAAAAGAGATATGTGCTGTTGTTGTACCTCTATGTTGATTCTCACCCTTTGGTCATGCATGGACTGGTCAGCTTCCAGAGTGACCAGAGCAGTGCTGCTGTTTCCTCAGGCTTTAGCTGTATGTAGACTAGTCAGCTTTTGAGGTGAGTAGAGCAGGGCTGCTGTTTCCAGTGGCAGCTTGGTTTTGTCTTAGGATCAGCCCGTTCAGATGATCTGTATCCTGTTGACTGATTCACTTGTCTTGGGCTGCCAGTTTTAGCTAAGTGTGGTGGACAGTTCCTGCAACTTTAACAGCAGTAAGGGTGGACAAGTATGGGGCCCATCTCATATGGGTCCCAGGGTAGTTGGATTCTATTTTTTGACCCAAACAAAGTCCCTGGGCTTGAAGGGGTGTATTGGGTTTGTCGGGCTTATAGGCATTTTTTTTAACCTAGCCATTGATATCTTGCATGGCTATTCCCAAGGCCTGTTTCTTCCTTTTTAGGGTTAATTCTCTTAGTTTGCAGAGATCACCCTTATTTGACCTATGGTTGGGGGTGGCCAGCCGAAAAAGATCTAATAGGAATACTCTGTTTGGTGGGAGTGCACCTGTCTTGGAGGAGGACTGTGAGCAGGACCTGATCCTATCTTAAGTGGGTTTTTGGCAATATTTTTTTAACAGTTGTTTGAATGTCTGGTTTATACGCTCTACTTTTCCTGAGCTCTGTGGCTGGTAAACTATGTGTAGGTTTTATTTTATTTTTAACTTCCATATGAGTCCCTGGACTATCTTGGCTATGAATGCTAGTCCATTGCCTGGCCCCAAGGTCAGGGGCAGTCTGAATCTTGGGATGATGTCCCTTAACAGTACCTTTGTCACTTTTTGTGCCTTTTCTGTTTGGGTAGGGAAGCCCTTGACCCATCTTGAAAGGTGCAGACAAGCACCAACATATAACGATAGCCTTCCACCCAAGGCAGTTTAGAGAAGTCCACAGCAAGTTCTCACAAGAAGGAGCACCTGTTTTGTGAAGGAGCTGGGTGAGCCCTTGCTTTAGGTTGTTTTGAACACAGGTTAAGCATTGCTCACAAACGGCTTGGGTGATGGCAGTGAGCTGCAGTGCATAGAAATGATGGCTTAGAAATATTTCTACTGTCATTTTTTCCATGTGAGACCCTTGATGGAATTGTTTTACAAACCTACGGGGCTGTCATTTTAGGGAAGGCCAGTCTCTCATTAGAGAACTTCTACCGTCTTCTCTTGATGTAATTTTTAGATCTTGGGAAAAACAGGATTTTTAACTTGAACAGTAATTTGGGGTCTCTCTGGGAGAGGAGGCTCTGGGATATGGGGCATGGTTAGGGCCCCACTTTTGGGTTGTAGGGCTGTCATAGCAGCCCATTTTGCTTTCCTGTTTGCCTTTTGATTTCCTCTGGCTTTTAATGTTTTAGTCCATTGGTGTCCCCTGCAGTGTATAACAGGGCCCATATAACATCTAGGAGCTATAAAAATCTTTTTGTATTTTATTCTTTTCCCCCAGCAGTTAGGAGCCCTCTCTCCTTGTATATATAACTCCTTGTATATAACTCTATGAACATGAAATGTAGCAAAGGCATATTTGGAATCAGTATGGATTTCAGCCTTTTTGTCTTTTGCTAGCAAAAGAGCCCTTGTCAAGTCTATCAGCTCTGTCTTTTGGGCTGAGGTTCTGGTAGGCAGAGGCTGAGCCTCCATCACAAAATCTAGTGTTACTACTGCATATCTTGCCCATTGGACTCCTTCTAGTATAAAACTGCTCCTATCTGTGAAATATTTAACATCTGGGTCTCTGAGGAGGTGATCTGTGAGATATCCCTGGCTTGAGAATACTTTGTCTACAGTTTTTACACAGTCATGAAGGGGGGCTCCCAGTTCGACTGGGAGAAAAGTAGCCACATTAAAAGTGTTCGCTGTCTCTAGAGTTATGCAAGGATTTTTGCATAAGAGTGCCTGGTACTGAGTCATCCTTGGATTTGATAACCAATGGTGCCCTTTCTGGTCTATTAAGGTTATAACTGAGTTTGGTACTTGAATAGTCAGTTGTTGTCCCAAAGTCAGGTTATCAGCCTCCTGTGTCAGCAGGGCAATGGCAGCAAGTGCCCTAAAGCATGGAGACCATCCTAAGGCCACAGAGTCTTATTGTTTTGACAAGTATGCCACCCGGCAATGCCAGGATCCCATGATGTGAATTAGGACTCTTATGGCCATTCCCTTCCATTTGTGGACATACAGGATGAAAGCCTTAGTTGTATCTTGCATTCTCAAGACTGGGCCTCTTTGATTTGTTTAAATGCTCTTTCTTGGTCAGCTTTCTGGAGGGGCTCTTTTTCCCCCTTTGGTGGCATTATGGTGCTTAGCTCTAAGTGAGTAATTTAGGATCTAGAGATGACAGAATCACACTGTCCCCCAAAACTCTCTTACCTGGTGTCAAGTGGTTGGGATTGGGAGGGCATAGACAGCCCATTTCTGTTCAATGCCCAGTTGGTGCTCCCCTTGTGTCACTATGAAACCTAAATATCTGACCTTTTGTCAACAGATTTGTGCCTTTTTCTTGGACACCTTATGTGTAGCCTAAAGTAGATGAAAGAGGTCTTTAGTTCCTTGATAGCAGTACTCACAGGTTGGGGCTGTCAAAAGGAGGTCATCTACATACTGTAGAAAGGTGCAATTGTCCTCTAGTGTGATGAAGGCTTTGAGGTCGGTAGCCAGTGCCTCTCCAAAGATTCTAAGAGTTCTTGAATCCTTAAAGAAACCTAGTCAAAGTAGGCTGTTCCTTTATGTTTGTGACAGGATCTTCCTATTGAAATGCAAAGATGGGCTGACTGGCTGGTACAAGGTGGAGACAGAAAAAGGCATCTTTTAAGTCCAACCAAGTAAACCAGACAGCACTTGCTGGAATCAGTCCCATCAATGTGTACAGATCTTGCACCATTGGATGAATGGTCTCAGTGGCCTGATTTAAACCACACAAACCCTGTACTGGCCTATATTTATTAGTTCTTGGTTTGCCTACTGGCAAAAGTGGGGTGTTCTAAGATGACTGGCATCTAGACAAGATTTTATGTTCTAAGAGCTGTTTTAAATGTCCTTGAATGCCTTGTATGGCTTCCCAGGGGAGGGGGTATTGGCAGACTCAAACCAAAATTGTCCCCGGTTTTAGTCCAACTATTACTGGTGTTTGATTTACAGCCAGTACAAGTGGGTTATCTTCTGACCATACCCTGGGAATCTTATGTGTCAGCCCATGCAGCTTATCCATTCCTGGCTTTGGTGACCTATCTAAATACAGTCTCTACTCTGGCTTGTGGGATGGTAAGAGTAAACAAGCATGGTCCCTGGATGAATCAAACTTCAAGTCATATTTCCCTGTGCCCCAAAGGTAATTAATTTGAGCCTGTAGTTTTTGGAGCAGGTCTCTTTTTAGCAGGGGAACTGGACAATGTGGAAGATACAGGAATTCATATTGAACCTCTCATTCCCCTATGACACACCTTTTAGGCCAGCAAAATGGCCTCTACTCTGGGACCCCAGTGGGCTCAACAATAGTCACATGTTTTTTGGATAATGGCCCAATAGGTTGTGTCACTACTGAGTGTTTAGCCCCACTATCTACCATAAAGTTCATCAATTGTCCTCCCATTTTCATTGGGATCATGGGCTCCTGGGGGCCTAAGGAGATGGAGCCCATTGTTTATAACCTTTAGTTTCTTCCAGTCTGATGAGGTCAGTGTCTGGCTTCTTCTGGGAATGGTAACCTTTATCAGGTAGTCTCTTGGTTTTATAATTTTCATTATTTCCACCATCATTTTTTGGGCATTCATTTTTCTAATGCCCCCTTCCTTTTTGTGCATCACTCACATTGATTCCATTCTAGCCTTAACAAATTTCCAGGTCCTGGCCCAGTCTAGCTTCTTTCTTGACCATGTCCACACCCCTGCCTTTTTGTGACTTCTATTCTCTTTCCTGTGAGCACCACTGCCAACAGATATGCTTTTTTTTTTTGAGCCTCTCATGAGCTTCTCAGTTGGCCTCCTGGTCATGGTTGATGTATACTTTGGTGGCCACCTCTAAAAGCTGGGTTGCATTCATGCCAGCAAAAACCTCTAACTTCTGTAGGTTTACCTGATGTCTCCCTGAGCCTGACCCACAAAAGACTGTGTTTACCATGTGCTGATTCTCAGTAGCCTCAAGGTTAAATGGACTCTAGAGCTGGAATGCTTCACAGAGCCTCTTATAAAACTGGCTGAGACTTTCATCAGTCCCTTGGAGTATTTCTGAGATTTTCCCCATATTGATTATTCTCTTTATGACTTCCTTTAAACCTTGCAAGAAAGCCTCTCAGTACTTATGTAAGTGTTGTAATTGAGCTGTATCACTTGGGTGCCAATGGGGGTTTGTCTCAGGGAATTGGTCCTGAGCATATGTTTGAACATTCATCACATCTGCTGGGGCATTGTTTTCTAACAAGGGGAGGGCTGCTTGAGTCACTCTTCAGTGCTTCTCAGTGATAAACAGCATCAGGAGAAGCTGTTTGCAATCTGGCCAGGTTCGATTATGTGTCTAGACAATGTATTGCATCAAATCTATAAGGGCCTGGGGTTTCTCCATGTAGGAGGGAGTATGGCGTTTTCAGTTGAGGAGGTCAGTGGTTGAGAAGGTCTGGTGGATAAAGCTCCTCTGTCCTCCTTGGATTTGGCCATCCCCATCCTAATAAATGGGCCCCTTAGTTTCCTGAAGGGGCATCTGTCTTCTTGGCTTGATTGTAGGCAACTTTCTTATTTATTTGAGCCTCTCTCACTTTTTTCTGGGGCAGTGGCTTCCATTTTTCCCTCTCAGATGATGCCTGGGACTCAATGTCATCTGATCCTGCCTCCCCATAGCCTGACCTTGGTAAGGGAGGATAGATTGGGGGGAGGCCTCTGCCTCCCCTGGTGGTTCATGTAGAACTGTTTTGTTTTGTTTTTTTCTGGTACTGGGGATCAAATCAGGACCTTGTGCTTATGAGGCAGGTGTGGTGCCACTGAGCTAAATCCCCAGCCCAGAGAATGGGTTTTTTTCTTTGCTGCCTTTTCTTTGTTCTTAAGGCTCCTGGCAGAGCAGATTTCTCTTTCCCTTTCATTTTAGGCTCAGCTTGGACCATGAGTGTTTCATAATATGTGGCCAGAAAAGGCTGTAGCAATTTGGGTCAGGTCTGGACTACATTCAGCCATGAGTCATTGTAAGGAAATTAGTCTGGATGCCCTGGTTGTCTTCAGTCCCCAGTCACCACCCAATGTATACACCCAATTATTCCCCTGTCTATTGTCCTTTAGGCTAGCCATCTAACATCAAAAGAAAGCCAATTAACCTCACAAAGAATTATCAACCTCTAGGGGGTCATCTTTATACCTCCCTGTGTAGCCTTCCTTAAAGTTCTTTAACATACATTTTAATGGGGTAGATTTTGATGCTTTTCCTCTCATCTGCCCATTGCAGTACAAATCACTCTCTTAATCACTTTCACTTTAGACCAATTAGACTATCTCCCTCACAGGAGTTTTCAGGCACTGCTTACCAATCAGAGGATATAAATAAGCCTGAACTCAGACTGTACAGTTTATCTACTGTTTGTGGGGCACCTCCATAAGCCTTATGCAGATTTCCACTAGTCCCAGTTGGCTCCACACTTGCTTGGAGCATACAGTCCATGCTAAGAGACCTCTGGCCCCACAATGTCACTCTGCCCATCCACATACAATCATACACCTCCATCTTTTTGGTTCCCTTTCCTAACCTGGGTATAGATTTCATCTGAACTTTTCCTGGGTCAGATTACTTGGTATACCACTTTCGAGCCATTCTTGCTGCAGGTCATACTTGAGTTCTTAACTTGGGATTGTAGCTTTTTATCCGGCTCAATCTGAGTCAGATTACTCAATACACTCTGGGAGGTGATCAAGCCCCCCTTCTGTCCTTATGGGACAGGTGCTGCCTCAGGTCCCAAAACCTTGCCACAGTCCTGTAGCGTGGTGTTCCAGAATCATCCTGTAGACTCTCGGGTTCTGTTGTGCCAACAGGGGAGATCACTAGGGTGTTGAAGAGCAATTCCCTCTCCAAGTTTAAGTCTCACCCAGTGGCACCAGGGGTCTCAGGGTCTCTCCCAGCTCAGGGTCCCTAGGCCTGCAGGCAAAGGAGACAAGATTGTTGTCTCCAATTCCTTCATGGTTGCCAGGGAATGTTGCAGAATTTAAGAGGTTGGAGAGACCAATGGGTGAAACAGGAGGATTTTTTTAGGTGCACACTGGCTCAGCTGATTCAAACCCAAAGTCAGAGCCCACAACAAAGGAAGAGCTCTAGTTTTATACATGTTGCCGAAGGGGGGTTGGTCTACCTGATGATGCAAAACTTGTGGGCAGGCAAGTGAGTTTACAGAAGCAGAATAAAAGCAGTTACTCAAACAGTGACAGTTTGCAACTTAGCACATTTTGGTGGCCTTGGTTGGGTGAAGAGAAGCAGTCTTTTATAAAAGCAGGATGTTGCGGAACTGTTACTTATAGGAACAAAATTGGCAGGACAAAGAACAGCAGCCACAGGGAGGGGGAAGACTAACGGGGAATTGCTTAGGTTAAGGAAACTTGTTTTTTCTTCTTTTCAAAGTCCTGCTTCACCATAAAATTACTGTTTGCCTTTTTCTCTACCTCTGGAAGTCCACTGGGGAAGCAGTGAGCACAGGAATATGTTTAGTCCCTTTTCCCAGCCCAGGAAGATGGTAGTGTTCTGATCTCTGCTTCTTGAAGCAGGAGGTAGGAGGCAAGATATTTTTCTACCAAATTCTCATCGATTCTTCCAAACATTTCACATTCAACATTTACTGAAGCATCTACTGTGTACCAGGCATTGTGCTAGGTTTTGACGACTCAGACAAGATCAAACATATCTTTGAGTTTAAGAAGCTCAAACAGACAATCACAAAACAATGGGATAAGAACAATGATAATATTGGTGAAGCAGTGAGGAGGGACATCCCTCCTAGCCTGCGCTCAGGGGACTTAGGAAAGGCATCCTAAAACAGATAGCACATGAGCCAAGCATTTTGGAGGCCTCTTTTGTTACCTCAAGGAACTATGTTCCAGTGTCTTCCTCTACTGATTGATCTCTCCTCTTTGTCCTAGAGGAGGTAGTCTTTGGAGGCCCTGGATGTCCTCCACAAATGACCCCCCAAGGCAAGTGAGGAAGCTGGTGGATTGGGTGAGTTGGAGTCCCTGTGACACATTTTCACAGGCACACACAGCCACATACATTCACACTGGTGGGGTCCCTTCCCAGAGAGCCTCTGACCTCAATCCAAGTCTGCAGATCTGGAAAGCATTCTAATAGTTTTGCTAGCATTTGATTGCCATGGCAGCTCTGGGATGAGGACAGATTCAAAGTTCCTATGGCAAATGGAAATGAGCAACTGAGGCTCAAAGTGGGGGAGGTATTTGAGCAGGCCCTACAGCCAGTTGGTGACAGAGCTGGTGCTCATATCTCAGTTTCCTGGGACCTTACCCCAGTGCTTTCTCACTCTACCTCCTTGACTCTACTGCTCCAGTAGAACTCTGTCCCCTGGACAGCTTCCAAACAGATGTTAGAACAAGGGGCAGGAGAGCAAACAACCCCAAGGTTGGGGTTGTTTTTTTTTTTTCAGCCAGGACCAAGACAGACCCCCTTGCTCTGGGGCAGGGTGTGGGGAGGTGGTTGGCCCCCAGAGATGTCTAAGGTCTCTTCTAGATCATCCTATGTACAGGTTTCTGACCTCTGATATGGAGGAGGTAGTTATCTGGCCATGTACTTTGAGCCAAATGCTGGCTTTTGCTTTGGACAGGTTGCTGCTAAGGCCACAAAGGCTGACTCTGAGTTCCATCACCCTATCAGGTAAGTTTCTTGTACCAAGCTCAGAACTTGACAAAGATCCATTTGCTCTTTTAAAAAAATGTTTTGGTACTGAGGATTGAACACAAGGCCTTCATTCACCCTGAGCTATATCCCCAGCCCTCATTAGCTTTTTAGATAGAGGAAGGAGGCACCATTATGATCCCTATTTCATAGGTGAGGAAACTGAAGCCCAGAGAAATTAAGGAACTTACTTGGCCAAGGTTGTGTTCCCTGGAGTCCATGACCCCTAAGGAGGAGCCCCTGTGAGCATCAGTGAAAAAATCCTTAGTAGAAAGAGATGGGGAGCACAGGGCTAGAAAATTCTTGACTAGGAGCCTCCTGGCATTGGGATGGGGTCAGCACTGATACATGCTGGAGTAGAGCTGTCCATAGCTGTGGGTCCACCAGACATGACCTTCCTGCTTAGAGTCACTTTGTAACAATTCAAAAGGCTCTGCTATAAATCTCTCCTTCTTTTCCTCTGACTTCATTTACTGTAGCTAAGAGGGGTGTAGGGGCTGACTTCCCTTTTGGCAGTACTGGCCCTTTTATACATATGATAACTAAGTTATGGGTCATATTTCTGCTGTCTATAGGCTCTTCTGACCTAAATACTGCTCCTTTGACTACTTGTACAGTGCTGGGGAGATTTTATTGCAGAACTTCCCTGTCCAGGCCACCATCAACCTGTATGAGGACTCCAACAGTGAAGAGGAAGAAGAGGGGGAGGATGATGAAGAGAAAGAGGAGGCCAATGAAAAGAGGTCAGAAGGGCATGTGAAAGGACCAGGGTCCATACCACACAGGGCCACAGCTCATCTCTGTTCCCCATCCCTGACCTGTCCAAAACTGAAGTAGCCACAGTCTGACTGGCAAGTTTTCAAGGGCATTGATTGTCTAAGAGTTTCAAGGTGCAGCTTTCTTGACTGAAAACTAGGTCTTCAAGCTGCATCCAGCTCATGTGGCTTACCTGATTGACCTGTGAGCCCAGTCCTCTAGCATCTGATTGTTTGGGTTGCTCTTGTGCCAATAGTGGAAGGGTCCTAGGAGCTCTAGAGGAAGGAAGACAAGCTTTCTGAAGCACCCAGGAAGCAGAGCAGGACAGGGTGTGACCATTTAGAGGGAAGCAGTCACACCTCAGGGAACTCTGAGGCCACCCCTACTATCACTCCCCACCCCACCCACCCCAAGTCCCCTCCATCATGCACATAGGAAGCCTTCTGAAGTGGACACATAATTTGGTCACCATGTGGAAAGCTGTGCTTCTGGCTTCACCTCCAGGAACAACTATGCCAGATCAAATCAAAGTTGGGTTGCTTTTCTCATGGGTCTTGCAGGGAAGGAAGGAGGCATCTAGAGAATCAGCTTGCTCTGTCCCCCTCCTTCATTTTGCTTGTTATCCATTGAATTCTATGTGTTGGCATAAGATGAATCAAGAGAAAAATAAACTGGATGATGTTTGCCTTTTTCTTGGAACTGTGCTGATTTCTTAACAGAACTCTGCCCATGTAGTGAAGCCATGGGCAAAGAGGCAGAGACCAGTTCGAGGGCAATTCATTGTTCTACCTGAGGCCAATTTACAGATTTTTCTCTATCAGGGATGAAGAGCTAGGGACCCAGTATGAAGCCAGGCACTGTCTGTCAACTTGTGAAATCAGGCTTGATTAAGCTTCAAGGACAGCTTAGAAAGGGAACAAAAAGGCCCCCAAAGGGCCTCTCAAAAGTTGGGAGTAGGGTTTGGGGATTGAGGAGAAGGTGAGAGGTATAGTCTTCTTTGAGCCTTGAAACTGGCTGTGTACATACAAGGAGGGGTTGGAGGGGCTACTAAATCCTGTTAATTTTATTTCCTCAGTGCCCTTTGTATCCACCACAGCTCAGGCCCCAATTACTCTTCAACTAGTTTTCTTGCCTGCAGCATGTCTTTTTGCAATTTGTCTTTTACACTGGATACCAGATCAGACCAGGTCATGCCCTTGACTCACCATCAGCTAGCTTTGTGGTTTGTTCGTTTTGTTTTTTTTATTTGTTTATTTTTATCACAGAATCCCTTGAGAATCTACAGCTTCTGTACCCAGAAAAATCCATGTATGTACCCCCCCCACACACACAGTGCTATATATTCACAAGTCTAATACTTACTGTGATATTCTAGGCCTTCTAATCATCTCATTCTTACCTTTCTCTTTGGAATCATTCCTTAGCATTTGAAATTTACATTGCCTCTTCTTGAATATGGCTTGCTTTGTAATACTTCTGTGGCTTTAAACCTCTGTCTGGAACACCTTTCCATGTTGGCATGCCTCTTAAACTCCCATTCACCCAATAAGACTAGCTCATACCCTGTGGGAAGCCTTTCCATGCCTCCAAATCCAGACTGGGTGCCCTCACACATCCAGTACTCCTCTACCATAGCATCTGCCTCCTTTCCTATGCAGGAAAATGGAGTTGTGTTTGATATCCCTATATGACTTCAAAGCACAGTACATTGCCAGGCACAAAGCAGGTACTCAGGAAATGTTGAAGGAAAGAATTCTTGATTCTCAAAGAAGCTCTTGGCAAAATCACTACTGTTCCTTCACTTGCCCACTTCCCTGTGTCTTTGCTTACCTACAAAGGGGATAGGGTAATATCAACTTATTGAAGAGCAAATGATGGCTTCTTCTTTCCTTTGTCTCTCAACTTGAGACAAACTGTTTCAGTTGTGAGTCCTGAGTCCCTAGCTGGGACTTCCCAAATTAGACACATCGTTGAGCAGGCTACCAAGCTCACCCACTGGTGCCATCTATTGGTCAAAATTTAACCTTGATCCTTAATTAAGATTGCCAAGCAGTTGATCTTTGACCACTTTAATTCCTTTAATCCATTCTGTTTCTGCTTGTAAATGAAGTGCTACCATGTGCTAGCTGTATGACCTTGGGCAAGTTACTTATCCATTGAGCTCATCTCTTTGGCCCTGGCATATAATAAAACCACTCAATAATAGTAGTCACAATAATAGTAGTTGTGGTAGCTATTATAGATTTTATAAAATAAATAAGCTTATAGACTGGAGTCAGCAACGACTACTTTATTAAACTAATGGATGACCTATCAGCCATCTCTACCTGATCTCCCTGGATGGTTCCAGTCAAAGCATCTTTGCAATATTTATCTCCATTTAAAAAAAAATTAGGGGCTGGGGATTTAGCTCAGTGGTGCCGCTGCCTGCCTCGCAAGTGCAAGGTCCCGAGTTTGATCACCGCCCCCCCCCAAAAAAATTCAAAATACCAACAACAGAGCCCTTGTGTGTCTTCTGTACCACTCTACATTCAAATAGTAGTCCAAAACGGCAGAACCAGAATCTCTCCCCTGGTATCCTCTCCCCTGTAAGTCAACTCTCTCCACACTCTTTTGTGTGGTACCATCAGAAATCCCCAGACTTTGAGAAGGACAATTTGGAAACCACTGTCCCAAGGGTTAAATCAAGAATGATTTGGAGGATTAATTAGAATTTTAACATGTCCAGTGTTCCATTTAAAATCCTTGTTTTGGGTCCTAAGCTTCCAGCATTTCACAGCTCAAAAATTGTTTCAGTCCTTTTATAGCACAGATTATAAGGATTTAAAATCCTTGGAATCTCAATATCCTTGGTTTTAAAGTATTATATAGCATAGAATTACAAATTTTTAAATCCTCAGGGGTTTAAAGACCCTAAAACCTACGGAGCAGTGATTCTTAACTTAGAATGAGCTCTTCTCACTCCCCCACCACTCCTCCTTACTGCACTTGTGCTGTTGTTTACTGGGCAGACATTTTATCTCACTTTTCTCCCAGTCCCCTCTCTTGAAATGGCTTCCAACTCCTACCCCTACCCCAGTTGCTAAGTGATTGGAATCTACTGTTCTGACTAATCAGAGTCCAGTGTGAGTTATTTTATTATGGGCATATCCAGTCCTTGTAGCAATTTTAACTCCAGGGTTCAAGCTGAGGAGAAAAATCTCTAAGCAAAACCCAGAGTTCTTCCTCCAGCTTCACCAGGCTATGCCATCCTTGTGCCTCGACACTTCCCCATCCCAGCTCTCAGTGCCTCCTGTTTTTCCTACCTGCTAGTAGTAAGGAAAGGGTACATCTGTTGAGAGATAGGATGCATTTGAGCTGGGCCTTGAAGAATGGGCATAGATACAGATAGAGGAAGAAAACTTCCAGGAAGAGGCAGCCGTGTTAACTCCTTCATTGAACATATTGAGTATCTGCTATATGCTAGGTATAACTACTACATTGATTAATAGTATGGGCTTTGGAAGCAGATGAACCTAGGTTCAAAATTCCTATCTGCCACATGCTGACTATTCATTGGCCCAGTCCCTTTCAGTGTTCAGGTCAGCTTTCTGCCTTTTAGTGATCTCACTACACTCTCTGTAGTTCTTTAGTATATCGTGCCTCTGCTTCACTGTGTGCATGCTTATTAAAATAGTTGTCTATGGTCTGCATCTGGATGTGGAAAGCCCCCTGCCTGCACCAGTGGGTGTTACTGATCCCTATTTTTAAGCCCTTCCCCACAACTGTACCTGTATAGGTATCTAGTGAGTAGACCTGTTGTCTCATTTCCTCCCCAGTCTCCTGTTGTGAAAGAGTGGCCAATCCTCCCAAACAAGTTGTTATGTGGCCTGAGTTCATTTTTTGACCTGTATGGGGCCTGGTGTTGGTTACTGTGATTTCGGTTTACTCCCAACTGATAAGGTTTACAGCAAGTTCACAAACCCAGGTATAAAAACCTAGCAAAGAGGGAAATAGTACAGAACTTGCCTAGCATGCCTGAGGCCCTGGGTTTGATCCCCAGCATTACAAAAGACAAAACAAAGAAAGAAGACAAAACAAAAAAAAGACAAAACAAAAAAAAGACAAAACAAAACAGCAAAGAGCAATTGCTCAGTAAGTGGTGGTTACAATATTCACTCTTTGCCAGGAACTTACTACACCCATTATCTATGACACTGTAATCACAACCATCCCAGGAGATAAGCGCAATTATTATCCTCATTTATGAGTGAGAAAGCTAAGAGTTAGCAAGTTTTTGTGTTAGGAAAAAGGAAAAGAAGAAACAGAGGTATGAGCTCAACAGGACAGGTTTATTTCAGAAGAAACCTGAGAGGGACCATTCTGGCACTAGAGACCAGACTAACTGCTCTCGTACAGACTATGGGGTCTTTTGTAGGGTCATGGGGAAACAGTAGTTCAGTGAGGGGGGTTGTGGCTCCCTGCTGAGAACAAGGCTTTTGAGAGCACAAGCAATAATGGCTGCCCAAGAACAAGGCTTGGGAAAGCACAGGAGTAGTGTCTACTATCAGTAGGAGGGCTGATCATGTTGAGTCCCCAGGTGCAGCTGTGCTGGGAGGGGGCGTTTAGAGGGGTCTCTGATCAGGATGGCAGTGGTCAGATTCTTTCATTTTGTACTTGAATTTGTTCACTTGCATGGAGATTGCTATAAGCCTTACTAGGTAGGATTAAATGAAAAAGAGTTATCAACACCCTGACCCTGAGAGCTCAAACAGTGAGGTGAGGCCACCATTTTACAAGGGACTGGAAAGGAAAGGAGGTAAAATGCCTCTCCACTTGATAACCACAAAGGCATAGTTGGGGGTGAGTGTATAGGAGGTGGTGATACTAACTAGGGTGGAGAGGGGGCTTTCCCTGTCCAGAGAGGAACAGGCAATAGCATGACTAAGATAAGAGAATAGCTGATATGGGGCCGGGGATGTAGTTCAGTGGCACTGCCCCTGCCTGGCAAGCGCAAGGTCCTGAGTTTGATCCCTGATACCAAAAAATAAAAATAAAAAGAATAGCTGATAATTCTGGAATTCTTGCTATGGCCTAGGAGCACAACCAGAAACTTTATGTGGATTAACTCTAATACAACAACCCTGAAGTACAGATAGATAGAGTTAGGGAAATTGAGACTTGGAATGTTTTATCCGTTGTCGTTGTTGTTGTTGTTGTTGTTTTGAGACAGTGTCTTGCTATGCAGTTCAGACTGGCCTTGAAATCATCCTGTAGCCCAGGTTGGCATCAAACTCGTGGTGATCATCCCACTCAGTCTCCCAAGTGCTGGGATTACAGGCAGGCACCACCATGCCTGGCAAGAGTGTTGTTTTTTTTTTTAAATTTGCCCCAAACCATACAGTCAGTAATCTGTGGTGCCTTCTAAATGCCAGGCTCTTCGCATATATTACCTCATTTAATCCTTCAACAGCCTATATGTATTATCATTATACTACTTTGATAGGTTCAGAGAGATTCAAGAAATCTACTCAAAGTCACACAGTTAATAAATGGCTGGGCCAAGATTTGAGAGATGACAGCACTTGCCAGTGATTATACCAATGGTAAGTGACAGAGCCAGGATTCAGGGCTCTCTGACTAGAGCCTTCAGGAAGTGGAATCAGCAGAGCTTGGTGAGGATTAAATCTGTGGGAGGGCAAAGAAGAAAAAATTTAAATTCTGCCTAGAGGGTACTGAGTTAAAGTATATGAAGAACTTTGAGCCAGAGGCCAGGAAAAGCTGAAGGCTACTGAAAGGTGTCACCAAGGGAAGGGATGTCTGGGGGCTTCCTGCTGGGGAGAGGTGGGCTTTCACA